ATCGAACCCATGGCCTTCTGCATACCAGGCGAGGTAGTTAACATCTCGCCATCGTGGCGCCTGTGATAAAGTGTGAACGAGTCTGCCAAAATAGACACTTGAGGCTCTCGCGAGTAGAGGGCTCTTCCTCCAGCAGTGGCATGTTCAAGCAATTGCGGGGTTGCGCCTTTACCCTCTTTAGAATTCATATTGAATTCAGTTTGTAGCAAGTGCTCTTTGAAGTGTGTGTACGCTTTGGTGCGATGTACATCGCTCGAACGGAGTAAGCTCGCGAGCGAGCAGGTAATTAGAAATGTAGGGCCTGACTTTACCGCTCGTTCGCTTACGATGTAAGATTAATTAAATACGAGCCCACCGCACACCGCACAAATAATTTGCGCGAGTGTCTAACTAAATTAAACGAAACAGAAACGGACCCCACCGCCCCCCCCCACATGAATGCACGAATCATCCTGTTGTTGTTTTTTTCATCACCGCTCCCGTGGTTGGCATTCATTTCATTTGAAATTCTAAATTAAATTTTAGCTATCGTTTACATGTTCACGGCGGGGCACGTGAGGTGGCCGCCCGGCGTGTGTCGGGGTTGACGATGATTAGCGCGGGGGCTAATTGCCGTCGAGCGTCGGCGTCGAGCGCGACGACGAAGAGCGCGCTTGTCTCGGAGCCACTTGCACCCCCCCCCACCCATGCGTGACCGCTCGGCCCCCCCCCCGGGACCCGTCACAGCTGACAGGGCCCCACGCGGCGCTTTTGTTCCCACTGGACCCTGGCAAGCCTCCCGACAGCTCGAGTTGACAAATTGGGATTTTTTTTTTAATGTACGGGAATTTTTTACCTCCCAAATTTTTTTTTCTTCAACTACGGTGCTTATCGTAGTCGCTGTGACGTCGTGAGATGAGAAGCGCCCATTCGAAAGTCTTGCAGGGCAGTGCATCGGTCAGAATCATTATTTCGACTGGAGGAGGAATACGGTGAGCTTTTTGAAGCTCTTTCTCACAGATGTCCACTATGGGCGGATCGGCAGGTTGGAGGACATCCCACAGAAGCAAATATTGTAGAAAATCTACCGAGAATACCTTTGCATCAACTGTTTTTAATCCACACGCTTGGGACGCTGTATTTCTGTATTTCCCCGCATGCTCTGCTGTAGAAAATATTCTGTTGTAAGGTAGTCAAATTCCAGAAATGGGATTTTTGACTAATTAAGATAAAAGTTATTGCAATATTGCAAAGTATTTTGTCCAATCATTTGTTATTGAGCTGTAACCCTGAACTCACTACAATTGTGAAACTGAATTAGCCACGGGTGGCTGAAACCTGGATTCGAACCCAGGAGCTCTGTGGTACGAGCTCACCATCGAGCCACCCAGGCCACCTCCATCTCATCTCCCTTCCCATTCATAACCCATTCCCTAGCTATCACTCGGGATTCATTTCAGTTAATGTTTTCCTACTGTGGGTGTCATACATTCTCGTGACTCCTGCCAATGTGAATATCGAATTTCCACCACTGGCTCACGACCACCACTGAATGTCGAGCGCCGCCGTTCCACATTCATTCCAGGGTGGATTCTCGCGGCGCGTTGGACGGGAGACATCGCGCAAAACGTTGCTCTCGATCGCTCGTTCGGTCGGTGCGCATCAAAGGAGACCGGTAATGAATCCGGTGCGCGATTTGGCGGTGCCCCCCCGGAAACCCGGGGGGGGGGGGGGGGGATCCTTTCGGCACCGCAGAGAATTCGCGCTACGATCGCACGTCGTAATTGTGTCCGGGTGCAGCGTGTTGCCTCCGTGTGCCGGTCGTGTTTCCTGCGCAGCGGAATGCCCCCGCACGCCGCTGCTGCTGCGCGTGGCCGCCGTGATTGCTCGGACGACGACGCGCGAGGCCGTCTGGAACGCTCACCAAAAAAGAAAATTGTCTCCTGGCAACTGAGCTGCCATGTAGCTTTGTGACCCACACCGCAAAAAGGTGTTGATGGTGCACCTACACCACCATCACCATTAGCAGCAGCAACCATGGTCTATCCACTGCTGGATGAAGCCCTCGCCAAGCCGTCACCGTATTCCACGGACCTGGAGGAATCCGATGAGCTATACAGCTCTTCTTCACAGATGTCCAAATCAGGATTGTGTAGCTCCTGCAGATGAGCTGATTTCATCACTCAACCCTTCATCACTCCTTTATACATTGCACATGCAAATTTAAGTTGATGATAATCGGAGTGCCATTGATTGATCCAAGTTGACTACTTTGCTGCAGGAGGATCATGTATTGCAATGTTTAGCCAAAGGCTATTCTCTAAACTGTCAAATACCTAGGAAGCAAATGTTGTGGAAAGCTTCGATTTAAAGCCTTCGTGACTGCAGGGATTCATCTTCTTGGTTCTTTCGGTAAAGTCACGTAGAAGGGAAATAATAAAATAATAAAAATGAAACATTATAAAATGCAATTCTCACGACGTTTCGGCCACAACGCAAGCAGCGGTCCTCAGGTGAAGAACAGGGCTGTCGGAAAGACAGCGTCTTCACCTGGGGCTCCGCGGGACACCTGCGGGGCCGCTGGTTGCCCACCGCTGACTCGGTGGATTGCGGGTGTGTGTGATAGAGAGGTGTGTGTGTGTGAGAGAGAGAGGTGTGTGTGTGAGAGAGAGGTGTGTGTGAGAGAGATGTGTGTGTGAGAGAGATGTGTGTGTGAGAGAGAGGTGTGTGTGAGAGAGAGGTGTGTGTGAGAGAGATGGCGACAGCCTTCAACGGTAGGGAGAGGGAGAGAAAAGGCAGAAGGATATGACTCATCACGGTGGCGCTGGGTGCAATGTGTAATTCAGCCTGGTATTGTGCGATGTGTTATGCTAGTCTTGAATTGTTTATGCTGACAGAAGGTAAAAAAAAAGTAATGTGATAACAGGTGCTTAATTATATTCAAAGCAGCGCTATCATCAGTTTAATTAACTTACTATGTAATAATTTGTGCATTTATTGTTTCAAAATATATATATTAACTTAAAGAGATTATGCCAATAAATGTTCACCGAATTTCAGAGTACTTCAAAGGGGTCGTGCGTTTTGGGTGTTTATTCAAGATTTGAAGCTTTCGTGAATGCAAGGATTCATATTCTTAGGTTTTTTCGGTAAAGTCACGTAGGTAAAAAATTTAAATTAATAAAAGTAAAATAAAATAAAAATCACGACGTTTCGGAGGCAACACAAGCTTCCGTCTTCAGGTGGAACCGTGGAACCGTTAATTTTATTAATTTTAATTTTTTACCTACGTGACTTTACCGAAAAAACCTAAGAATATGTTTATTCAAGTCCAAGAGTAGTGAGAGTTTGGCTTTGTATGGGAGGAGGGAACTGGAGAGCCCGGAGACACTCAGCACTGTCATCCCCTGGCCACTGATGGCAGCCTCACGCCTGCAACACCTGGCAAGCCCTGATGTCTGTCTCCGTTGTCCTTTATTCGGGTTCCTTTACACTTGTCCCACACGGCCCTCGCTCAGAGCCTCTCCGCTCGGCAGCTCGATGCTGCCTTCGCTCCCGTAGCCTCTCCCCACTCCGATGCAGCTCCACCGCTGCTGGTTCCCCCGTGCAGACCTCCGGCTGCCCTCACAGCAGCTCCCCCGCTGCTGCTCGTCCCTCCGTGCTCGGTCACCGCTGGCCGACGGTGCCGAGTCTCACTCCCCGTGTGGCGATCTCGCCACTCTCCGATCTCCGCCCTGCGTGGCCTCACTCTATGCCAATCCCCAACTCCATCCCGTCTCTTCCGGTTTCTCCCCCTTAAGACTTGATCCCTCTCTCCCACGTGACCTAACTCCTCCCCCCGTGACGTCATATCCGCGAGGCCGTTTACGCCCACATTACACAAGTACTGAGCAGGTTGGGTTCATTTTTAGCTTTTGAGATCTCACGAGATGGAGCTCCGTCTATGGTGATTTGGACATGAGCAGAGGATATTAGCACGTGTGTTAACATCGAGCTCACTGTAAATATTCAGACAAGTGCGCAAGGTGCTTGCGTTTCAACGTTGGCTACAACTGAAGATGTCTTTGAATAGCAGGTTAGTGCCATTTAATCTGCCATTCCAATTGTCGGGAATGATGAGCTCTATCTTGTATTCATGGGCTGCACTGGGGCGTACAATTACAAAAACTCGGATAATGAATGGGTCTTTTGTTCTTTACTTGTGTTGGGGTGCGTGTGTGTGAATATTTGTTCTATCTTTGTATCGTCTCAGTCGTTCGTTAGCACCAGTCTCTGCATGACAAAGGTCAACGTGAAGGTCACCGCGTTGATGTGGCCAAGTGGCTCCTGAGTCAGAGCACTGAGCAGTCTCCGGCCCGTGGGCCTGGCAAGAGATCGTTACCACGGCAAGGTGGCGGAACTTTAGCAGAGCACCGATTCATTTGCACGGCCAGTGAGCGTGAACAATTGGTTGGAGATTATGGAAATGTAAATGTGTCGTGGACCCCCCTCCACCCAACACAGCCAATCGGTAATGGTTTTCAATTGGCACAAAACTTGCCAATTAGTGAGTACTTCAGCACACCGGTGTGTTGGAGAGTAAACTCGCACATTAATAATTTGTATACCCACACTTACAAACAGTAAATTTAAAAATTGTGAATGTGGATCTACTCTGAAGCAAAACACACGTCGGTGACCCGTACGGCACAACCACGAAAACCTCCACAATATAAACTTGTTTTTGACGACCATGCGACAATCACCTCTCGATCAGAGTGCATTGTAAAGTTGATTAAAGGTCACCTAAAGGAGATCTCCGAAGCAGTTCTGTGATATCACCTTCTGCGGGCCATTCTTTGTCACGAGGGGGGAGGGGGCAGGATGCCCTGCTCCACGAGCAGTCCCAAGAGGACACTTCACCCGGTGACACAAAAACCAAAACGCTGTGGCGGCGGTGGCAGTGGCAACGTTTTAGAAGGTGAATACAAACCCCCCTGAGCTGTCGTTTCTTCCTACGGAACGCCCGACACCCCCGACAGGTCCCGACGGACGAGGCGGGCGGCCGGAGGGCGACGCGAAGAACACCGGCTCCCGGTGGGGGGGGGCCGGGGCCGGCGATGTCGAGGACCCCCCCATCTACGGGGAGGTGCGCGGGGAGCTGTCCAAGGGGGGCCCAGAGGAGGCTTGGATGAGGGGGGTGGCAGCGCCCGAGGAGTGGGACTACGAGGAGGATGCGTGGAGACAGGTGGGTGGGGGCGGAGGGGGGGGTGCTGTAGTTGTGGCGGGGGCTGCAGGGGTTATGCAGTGCGTCGAGTAGCTGCCATGATTTATGGATCTTTGCAGCGGCGCGTAATGGCTAGGTTTGCCTAGTAGGAGGTGCGACCATGTGACTGTGCGACCGAGTGACCGTGGTACTGCGTGACCATTTGACCGTGCCGACCGTGCCGACCGTGTGGGCGTGTGACCTTTGGTACTTCGTGACTGTGTGAATGCGGTACCGCGCGGAGCGCGCGTGAGTGCGACATTCACCTTCCACTTTTGGGACCTTATGTGGACCTTTGGGTGCGAGCGTGAGCGGACTGTGCCCCACTGGGCCGCCGACTCAGTTTGGATTTCGTCGCACGCTGCTTTTGTATTTTCTCTTTATTTCTTCATCGGCATCATCATTGTGAGCCGTGATATATCCACTGCTGAATGAGGGTCGTCTCCATCCTTCGGTGTCCCGCGATGTTGCTATACATCTCCCTTCATGCTCGTGAACCGATCTCATCATCATCATCGCTCCATCTGGACGGCGGTCGTCCTTCCACGTGCGGTTCGCTCCCACCGCCGTGGCTCCGTTAGTCTCGACCACCACCACCACCGCCGAAGAATTGTCACGATGCAGGGCTGCGATGCGATTTCAGAATTTATTCTCTCCTTTGGTTGTCACCACTCTTGTTCATGGGCCATCATCCCCCCCTCGCCATCGTGTGCCCTGCCCCATCCAACTTACTTTTCTTTTCAGTCAGTATAATGTCTCTGAATTGCCCTCTGTTCTTTGTTTCTCCTATTTCTGTCTCTCGGGGTAATAAGATTTTATGAGAGCGCATATTTATCTGAAACGCCGCCAGAGTGCATTTTCTGACTACAATGTTGCACGTGACCATGCCCCATGTGTGTGTGTGTCTGCATGTGTGTTTTTATTCAGTATTTAAGGTGCTGCATATGCTCCCAGTGAGCCTTAACAGCGAAAAAAATGGTATTTAAAAACCTGCTGTTTAACTGACGGCCATGTATAATTCATTCTATTCGCACGACGGTGTCGTTTTTTTTGTTTTAAATGCGTCATATGTATGCATATGTTTCCTTGCCCCCGGGGGGAAACAAGTTAGATTGAAAATAATTTTTGCGGAGAGCGAGAGAGCGTCACACGAAAAACCCCCCTTGGAAATTGTATAAAATTACCACGAGGCTAACGACTTGGGATGTCTGAGAAGCGGCGCGCGGTTTTAAAGACCACGCGCCCGGCCACGCGGCGCCGTGGTCGGAGCCGCCACCGCCTCGCCCTACGGCGCGCGCTCGCAAAGTGGCCGGGAATTCAAATGACACCATAATGAGCGAGCCTCCTAATTGCTTTTCCTGCGGCCGCTTTACAAGCTGTGGCCAGCCGCGCGTGAACCAAATCGGGGTTATCCAAATCGGTGCTCCCGGAGGATCGCGTTGCCCCTCGCATTTTGTTGGTGCGCTGAACACCCAGAGGCATTTTCAGCAGCTTCTGATTGAAGTGTTGGTGGAGAACTGGGCGGGGGGCTGGAGGCTGGGGGGAGGGAGGCTGAGGGGGGGGGGGGAGGTGCTGACTCGTGCGAGACGCAGAAATACTAGGTGGTAGAAGTAAGAGAAAATATTGTACTTGGAAGGGGACATGATGATGCAGGCAGTGTTGAGAAGGGACCTGACACTTTTTGGACACGACGTGTAGTCGGACGGACAACGACAGGAACATTTGAAGTGTGTTATTCTAAAAAATTCGAAGCAACCGGAAAGAAGAGGGGACTTTCTAACGGAGAACGGCTTGACGGACGCCATCAGAGATTGGTGGCAGAAGGATGCCGCACGGCTTGAGCACATTGGCACGAGACAGAGGGAAGTGGAGATCAATCTTCTTGGTTCTTTCGGCAAAGTCACGTAGAAGGGAAATAATAAATAATAAAAATAAAACATAATAAAATAATTCTCACAACGTTTCGGCCACAACGCAAACAGCAGCCTGTCCTCAGGTGTCTTTCCAACAGACCTGTTCTTCACCTGAGGACGGCTGCTTGCGTTGTGGCCGAAACGTCGTGAGAATTATTTTATTATGTTTTATTTTTATTATTTTATTATTTCCCTTCTACGTGACTTTACCGAAAGGACCAAGAAGATGAATCCCTGCAGTCACGAAAGCTTTAAATCGAAATTTAAGTGGAGACAAATTACAAAATGTGCGGTGGACACTTACGGGGGGCTATCTGCCCCCGGAGCGTGATGATGGTGATGGTGGTGAATGGGGGACAGCCATGGCGGAGTGACCTCCCGTAAGCGTTTGGAATCGGGGCGAGAATGGAATTCACGACGATACGGACGCAATAGCGGTCGTTGGCTAATGGCCGTGGCTGTGAAAGTGATGATGACGATGATGCTGCTTTTGTTGTTGTTGCTGGGCTTGGGCACCGTGCATGGTAGGTACGATTTCACATCCCGCAACCCGGCGATTCGATTTATTTTTGACGATTCGATGGTCGGGATTGGATTCGAGAATCAACGATTTATTTTGTTTCGTTTGCATGTGGGGTGTTTTTGCAATATTTGTTATGCCTCCTTAGCCTGGATCATAAACGAGAACTTGATTTGCATACATCATGAATAAATTAAATTCCCCCCCCCCCCCCCCCGCACAGAAGTGAAAGCAGGCGATTGTATTTAAATCGATGCATAATTACATGCCTCGCTGTGAAGCAGTGGCAGTGGTGGCACGCCTTTAGGTTTGGAGACAACCAGACTTTTTGACAAATGAATAAATATCAGGTTTCATGTTTTTTAAGCAAACCGAGCAAGTGCCAGGAATATATTTTCGGTCACGAGCTCGCGCGTCTTTCCCAATCCGATTTTACATAAATCATTTTTCTTTTTAAATGGCATATTGCGCCTCTGCGGAACATATGGGAAACAAATATTACCTTTTGATGGCCATATGTGTCGAATGTTCCGTTTTATGTTCGGGGACTTTTATCGTGAAGGGTTGGGAGGACGTGGGGGAGGGGTGGGAATCCTTACGCCGCATTATTCGAAGTCACGTAATGAAATAAACAACGCTATTAATTGCAGAATTAAAGGTAATAAACGTATGCATAAATAAAGCCCAAAACTAATGACGCGTAAATAATGCAACAAAAACCTCAATTGGCACTCGCCCACTGCTGGAGCGTCCACGGCACAGGGCGGCGTCGCGTTTTTGTGTCGGAACTTCTGCCGAGAAGGCCGACCGCAATGCCAAGGAAACCCCGATTCCTTTTGGTGGGGGGGGTTGCTGCCTCTGTTTTCGGTGAAACGCACCGAATAGTGATGCTCATCTGCTGCCAGATTCCCTGTGCCCCAACCCCTGCCCCCTCCCCCTGTTCAAGTTTTCAGGCTCTCAAGACCTCCCGCTTTGTCCGTCCGCCTGTTGTCCGAGGGTCTCTGGTCTTGTGAAGTGTCATCACGCCCGTGCCTTTATCGCACGCCGTCGTCTCTTCTCTCGCTCCACGCCCCGCAGCGTTTCACTTCCACCCTGTCTGCTACTTCTGGAAAAATTAATTTCTGAAAAGCCGCCCCCCACCACCCCATCATGATGTCCCCCCCCCCCCTCCACCGTCTCCTCCCTTGTACCACTTCCCATTTGTGTCTTGAAATGGTTGCATTTCTAAAGGTTTCATCATCATCATCCTGATCAGCTTAAATAACACACACATAATGTAGCCGGCATTGGCCAAACATCCCAGTGTTGAAAGATTCCCTGCAAATGACTGCGATTGTGATCGGACGCAGCCGAAACAACGTCCCCTACTCGCGAAAACTTTGCAGAACCCCCCTGAAAACGAGTCTTGAGACTCCACGAGGCCTTTCTGGATAAAAAGCGTGATAACAATAATAGTCTATCTACTGCCATTAAACTGTTTTATTTTACGAGGTAATGCCCACTGAACTATACAGCTCTCTCCGAAGCAGCCTGGCCACAAATGATCGCTCAATGAGAAGTGGCTTTTGTGTAAATTTATATCAGCCAAATACTCTAAATGCGTGATGTTGATTCTAGATATGGAGGGAGAAATGGAAGGTTCCGTAGAAAAATCCACAACCACGGGGAGAGAGAAACATACAAACTCCATTATATACTGGCGTCAGGGTTGGGATCGAACCCACGACCTCCTGTTTCCCAGTCGAGGTAGTTAACATCTCACCACCGTGGTGCCCTACTGCTGGATGAAGGCCTCCCCGATCCGTCGCCATCTCTCCACAGATTTGCGATGCGCGATCCATCTTGGCACACCTTTAACATGGGCAGAGAAAGTGTCACGGAATCGCAAAGTCTCGTTGTCGCGTTACACAGCGGCAACGTTGTCAAACTCACCGTTGCCCGTGTGCCGTTGAGTTTGCTGCTGCTGCTGCAGCGGCAGATTAAGAAAAAAAAACGAGATGTAAGAAAAAAATACAAACAATCGCAGGCGCGCTCGCGAACGGGAAATATTTGCAATGCGAGTTTAAGAGGGCCCCCCCCCCCTCTCTGCAAACAGCTCCCGCGGCACGGGCAGCCCTTTTTTGTTAGCACCGTTCCCTGGTGTATAAATGAGCTATTCTCTTTAACCTTTTGTGTTGTAAATGGAGTGCCAGCAACTCGCATTGTAACCTTTCTGCAAGGCACAACTTTTTTTTTAATGGAATAAAACATTGAAATGCCAGAGAGTAAACAGTTTAATTCCGCCGGAATTAAAAATGCTGCGCAAGCGCTTTCGAGAGGATTAATTGTGCATGAGGAGGAGTGATCTGGAATTTGAGCCGGTGCCTATTCCGCCTGTAAAGCTTGCGCCTATCGAAAAGTTTGAAGAGAGCAGAGCACACACACACGCACTCGCTAAATTCCTTATCTTCGTTCTATGGAGTAAGCCCGCACATCGCCGGAACCTACTGCATTATTTAAAATAATAATTAACGTTGAATAATCTTATCGTATTTACATTACTTGGAAATTTGAATGCTAATCCTCCCCGTTGCGTGGGCGGTCGTGGTTATGCATGCTGTGTGGCTCTCCCGACATGTTTTTTTTCGGGTCGTGCCACTCGTCGTTGTTCGGCACGATGTCCGACGTTTCACTCCACCTGCTCGGAACTTCTTCAGGAACCGAGGAAAATTTGATTCGGTTCCTCAAGACTCTCCAGAAAGAATACGCGGTGCAACTGGAGTGGTGGCGCAGTGGTTAGCGTGCACCGCGGTACGAACCCGGTGACCCGAGTTCCATTCTAGGCCACTCGCACTGACCAGCATGGTTAAGTATGGTCAAGTAACCACCTTCACTGACAGTGTGGAGAGGCCTACATCCAGCACCTCCGATTAGCACGGTTGGCTGCGCACGGTTGGCTGCGCACGGTTGGCTGCGCACGGTGTGAAAGAAGTGCAACGTGCACACGTACATACAAAGGTGTTTTTGTTTTATTTTCTCGTGTTACACTTGGGAAATTGCTTTTTCGCTGAACTTATTGAAACCCAAGTCTCCCTTAAGAAAGAGACTCCAGGCTCTGTGGGCTCTCACCTGGTTATAAAGGTCATCTGGATTCAACCATGTCCTCTAATTAGGCATGTAGCAATGGCTCCCACCATCCCCGCCCCCAGCAATACAATAAATTGTTTCGGTTCAGGCCCTCATTCAATTCACTTGTGTTTGTCCGACTTTCCCTGCCTTGTTTGCACCATGCCCTCATTGCGCGGCGTCTCGGTGGAGTTTCCTTCGCTCCATTAGCCCAAATGTATCGTTAGCGTTTAATTTGCACGCGATTTGCGTAAATTGTAATTAGTGGATTCTGACGCGCGCGATGTGATGCGAGCGTGTATTACGGGCGTGCGAATACATTGCTGGCCGAAGCATTACTCCGCTGTTGCTTGCCTGCGTCGGAAACACGGGTTTCTTTAAAGTGTCCCCGCGTCCCCGTGTCCGTGTGGTTCCCCACCTCCACCCCCCGTGCTTCTGGTAGATACACGGCGTTCCACCGGATGAGTCGGTCAATGAGGACGATGAGGGGGGCCCTGGGGAGCCTCCGGGCGTTGGTGGGGGGCCCGGTCGGGGACTGGGTGGCGCTCCGCCCCCTCAAACCTCGTGGGAGCCCCAGGTGGGTGCCGGCAATTTCACCAAGTTAATTTTTTACGTGACTTTTTTTTTGTCGCGTCGCCGTCAGGGTAAAACGGTCGGGACAAATGAGGTCGACAGATGACAGGAGACGAGAGAAGATCGAGCGCAGAGGGGACAGAGGGAAGAGCAGAGCGGGGCAGTACAAGCGAGAGGCACAGCGCAGATGCGGCAGTACGAACGAGAGACAACAAAACGAGAGGCGGTTCGATAAGATGGACGGTGCAAACGAGTCGGCTGCAAACAAGACGAGACAGAACAAATGAGACTGGGAAGTGTCAATCGTGCTGATCAAACAAGGACCGTCGAGGCAGTTTGGACCAAGGAGTCGAAATGATAGCTGGAAACGAGGCAAAGTGGAATCCTTTGTCGAATCCAATCGTGACCCTGAATTTGGACAATTTAGCGATTCGCGTGGCTCGGCGGCGTCCGTTGCGTTACGTCTGCCCAGCGACGGCACCGGCGCAAAGCTCGCCGTCGCTCACTCGGAGTTTGATAAGTAACGAGAAGCATTACCACATCATGAAAGTAAGGCGTGTTACGTGTGTACGTGTTTAAGGGCACTGCGTGCGGGGAGGAAACCGGAGTGGACGGAGGAAACTCACAAATCCAAACTGAAAACATTCAATCATCCACACTGAACACGTTAGCAACCTACTTGCCGCCGTACATTTAGTTTTGTTTGCAACGAAGAAAGAGCCATCGCCCAAAACGTGTCCCCTATTATATATTTTTATCACGTTGAGGCGGAAGAGTGTGTCCGGTTTGCCGTCAGTCCTGCTGCACCACTGTGCCGCCGCGGGCAGAGGGGCGGACCTCGCGCGATCGTGGTCGTGACCTCTCACCCGGCTGCCACTGGGGTCGCGGCCAATCGCTGCTACGCCCGCTGGCCAATTCCCGTAGTGCGGTTTCGCCGTGAGTGAAACGGGAGGCAGGGCCGAAGTTGGCTGTGCCCGCGGCGTGCCGTCGCGCAGTAAGGAACAGGAGAGAGTGGGGTTGGAGCCGGCGCTGCTGAGATCCTGGTTTAAAATCCGAGGTTCAACCGCCCATAATTAAATCGCTGTCTCAAGTGGAGCGAGCGAGTGGATGGTCTCAGCCCAGTCACCAAATACTACATGAAATAATATGATTGTAAAAAAAATGGTTCGATTTCCACGTCACACAAGCATTGCTCTGGAGCACGGGGTTGTGGAAAGTGCTCCCGTCAGGATAAATAATGTAGCTTGAAGGGAAGTAGTTCTGTGATGTCACACTCCACGGGTCTCGCGATTCACTGCTGTGCGAGAGTTTCGAACAGATACTTTGTCTCCTGACATGACGCTGATAGTACAAGTGAAATAAAATTGGGTAAAAACAGAGACGCACATTACATATCCGCAGGCCACACGCCCAGGAAAAGGCAGCCGCAGTTTTCTTTTCTTTTTTTCTCTCCATTTCATGGGTCGGCGGTAAAGCATCCACAAATGACTTGTAAAAAAAAAGTTTGGCGGCGGCGTTGGCGGTGGCGACGGCGGCAACGGAGCCAGGACTTGGGGGACGCTTCCCCGCGCGTGATTCATCGTCCAGAAACTTGGGGAAGTGCGCGGCCGTCACGGTTCAGGCGCTTGCCGAGAAATACGACCGCAATGGCGGTCGCTCGCCGCCGTTAAATACCCAGCGAACTCCTGGGGGCTTCACATGGGCGTTAACCCTTGCGCAGGTGCTGGACTGCAGTGACTGCCAACTATTAATAAATCTCGAATGGAGAGAGAGAGAGTGTGTTTGTATGATATAGTACCGAAAGTCGATCTACCCTTGTAAATATTGACATTTGACAGAAATAGAAGAAGGACCAAAATAATGAATCAATTACATGGAATGACTCGCAAACGGATTGACTCCCGGAGGGGGTCGGGGGGGGGGTCTCGGCTGCCATTGCTGGCGTACCAAACTTCCGTGACGTGGTGGATGCAAACGGCCTTCCTCAAACTGTGAATGAATCTCAAAGTGACGAGAGAGAGTGAGAGAGACCGCTGAGGTGGCCCCACGTGAACGACTTTGCAGTGGGACACGGAGATGCGCCGAGTGGGAGGTGTGCCCTCTCGAGCGGAATCACAACGTGGGTGACACCGTGAGAGCCCGGTTTGCCTGGGGGCAGTGGGGGTGGGGGGCTAACGCCGTGTCGGTCGGGGGCTCCGAGCCGGCACCGGCGATAACACTGGTCAACACACTTTTTCTGGCATAAGGTATTCCAACGATGTTGAGGTCATTTTGGGGTGCTGATTCCAAATCTGGCATCAGTTTTTGTCTATCACATTTTTGAGATGTCAAATATTGCATTTTCAATAAAAACTGCAGAAGAAAAATATGAAATAAATGTGGATATCTACATAAAATTATATTATAAACACACGATCCTAAAAATACAGCACCATATTTTAACACTAAAGCAGTCACTGACTCGCAACAACTTGCAATCATAAGTGACAGAGTTAATTTCGGGTAAAATGAATGAAAATGGGGTATGCCGGTAAGCATAAAATGATGTGATAGAGCAAATCTGAGATCAGATTTGGAATCAGCACCCTGCAATTAGCTGCAAAAGTCCAGGCCAGAAGAAAATGTTTTTTTTTTGTTGACCAGTGTAATCTTTGGCTTGAATCCGAGGTGGCCGCCCCCGCGACTGTTCCGGGGTTCCCAGTGGAGCGGATTGATGGCCTCGGCCTGGTCGGCGAGGACTGAAGGGGGAAGGAAAATCGCTACGAAGAATCTTTTGTCTTTCGGTTTGGCTGAATCCATCCGTGCGGATGATGAACGTGGGAGAACCGGGGCTGAGACGGGAGAGGCAGGCCTGGAGAGAGGTGATGAGGATGACGCTACGCCCGTCACATCGGGTGTTTGCGGTCCTGCCGCCGTGCGGCGGCTCCGGAGAGTTTCCGGGTTATCGCCGCGTGTTGTCCGGCTCGATGTCCGACGTTTCGCTGCAGCCCGGTCAGCCAGCACACGAAGTGAATCGTCGGACATTGTACCAGACAATAGGCGGCAACGACTCCTGAAACCACATCGGATGGATAGCAAGATGCGGCTCAACGAGGGAACCAGAATTTGCAGGGCTCTCGTGTGGACGTGGAGACGGCCCAGGAAAGGAATGAGTGGAGAACAAGGATCAGCATGGTAGACTCCACATGAAGCGGGAAGTGCCCAGAAGAAGGAGATAGTGCTAAAATGATTCAGACATTTTTCATAATTGTCAATTAAATTAATTGAATGTTGAAAAATTTTTTTTTTTTATATATAATCGATTAAAATGGCAGACGCCAGGCATCCAGCTTCCAAGACGGCGGCGCACACGCCCAGCGTGATGTTGTGGCCATCGGCAGTGATGACGACGATAACCTCGTCAATACAGTGGTCCTGCCATGCGAACGTGGAATTTGCATCCACTGCTTCAAATGCCGCCGTACCAACAACGAAGAAAGCCACCACCCAGAATTTACGATCACTGGAAAGCCTGTTTTGTTCTTTTTGCAGATACGCGCCCACGCATATTTCACCGCGGCACATGCACTCCAGCAAATATTATGCGCGCGCTTCTGTACGGTCCGTGTGTGTGTGTGAAATTCCGGAGAAGGTTCCACCCTCATTACATTAAAGCCCCCTCTGTAAGCGAAGGAAAGGGTGAGTGCCTGCTGGGAAGAAGAAGGAGAATAAATAGTTGTTGTGCCGCAGTTTGAAGCGCAGAGTGAGTGTGGGGGGTGGGGGGGTGGTGGCATAAGGGGGGCGAGGGTAACGAGTGGCAAGCTCGGGGGCAGCAATGAAACGCTAAGCGCAACAAACACTTTACGACATCGCGATGACGTCGCAGCCACGCGTTAGCACTTTACGTGCCGTTTTTTTTCACGCGAGAGGCTGCTGTGTGCAAGCGCACAGCATGGCACGACTGGCAGCGCAGAGCAGGGATGTATAATTTATGCCGAATGTATTCTGAGTGATCTCCGAGCACATGTTGTGTGCACGGCCACGAGGGGCTAATGGGCCTGCGAGATCTTCAAAGCCAGTTTCGTCGTCGTGTTTGACTGCAGGAATGAGGCGTCGTTCTGTTTAATTTTCATGTAAACGTTTCGTGAACCACCCCGCTGATTTTGTTCCGACAACGGAGGTTGCGCTTTTGTAATGATGCCCACGGTTACGCCGTGTGGTCCAGGAGCTCGTCCATTTCTCAGACGAGTCGGAGTCATTAAAAGTCAGAATAGTGACTTCCTGCTGAAATCCATAATCGGGGCATTGCTTGTCTGCTGTTTACAGCCCTGAGCCAGGAGCGGAAATTCTACATTCCCATGGCAGGGGCGAGTCTAAACCAGATGGGCAACCACTTGACTTTCCCAAAAAATGGTCGTCACTTTATCTACCCCGATTGGATGATGGGCTGAGGCAACCCCCAACCAGGATTTGAACTCGCAGCAGTCTGATTGCAAGCCCATCGCTCTGCCACTGAGATGCCTGGCTGGATAAAGGCAGAGTTTGCTTCAATAATTTATACGCTAAGAGTAATGGCCCAAAACACTGCCACTGTTTTCCACGTATGTATGTATGTTGAACTTCTTTCACACCGTACGTCGCCAAACATGCTAATCGGAGGTGCAGGGAAGGACAACAAGATGCAGTTTTTCGAAATGTTAACCAGCATGTGATATCGGGGTGTGAGTCATGGTGTACACCCTTACAGTAAAATAAATCTGCACACGCAACAAAAACTATTTATGTCGGCAGACCAACATATATTGTGCGGCGAATATAACACCCAAAAGACAGCAGTTGTGTAACACACGATTCGCAACTAAAGATCGTGGCTTCAGAAGTAACATAACGCTCGGTTCGCTAAGTTTTTTATTTTACAGAACATTTTAGCCCCTCCCCCCTTGCGTCGACTGTTGTTGTTGTTGCCGCCTTGTGCCAGACACAATTGCGTTAGCGCACGAGCGGTCGTTTTGAACGTTAGCACACCCTCCACGGGGTGACCTCGAGGGTTTAAAAAAAAAAAACATTTGCCTGCAAACTCCGTCCGCCCGAGCGCCAGGCTGTCCACAGCGAGCGTCAGTTCATACGGCAGCGCCGCCCGCGAAGGAGAACGTCTCTTGTGAAATTTCGTCGCGTGCGTGCGTTTACTCGAACGCAGCTCGTTGCCCAGGGTAACTTGTTTGCTGTAAGCAGAGTGCTGTTTGTTCATAGCTGGGAAAAAGTGAAAGCCAAATAAAGATATTGCTATGTATTTGTACACTCATGAGCGATCGGGCTTAGACTGATAGTTCTGTTTGGTGCCCACGGTAATCATTCATTCATTTGTGTGCCAACCGTGCTACTTGGTGCCACTTGACCGAGCTGACATGTTGGCTGTGCCGTGCCTCCCTCCCTACCACCACCCCCTTCCCTTGCGTGGGTGCAGTTCAAAGGTCGTGCCAACCTGCACGTTTTCGAAGATTGGTGTGGCTCGTCCGTGGGACAGCTTAGGAAGAACATCCACTTCCCCATTTTCCCGCACGTAAGTCGGTGTGTGGGGCGGCTGGCTGGTGTCGCCAGCACCAGGCGCAACAATCAGGGGGAACACGGGAAACCCAAACAGAATTATATCTGCGTTGCCGCTGCTGCTGCTGTTGTATTATACATCCCCACAGATAGCGAGGTGTTTGACATGGTGTGGATGACACACGGATTGTGTTTCCGCATCAGCCAATCGAACAGATACTTCACATTCTGCATTTATTGAATAAATGAATAGGCCGTGTTCTGATTATTTACTTATATATTTATAGTCAATCGTGCAAAGTCCATCTCAAGATTGCCGGACACTTCGTAACGCACACAGTTTTAAGCACGGAGGCGCAGCAAACCACAGACAACCAGGAAAGCGGACAAAACCCGTGCTATCAACAGTTACCCAAGCTCTCTGTGGTCCTATATTGGGACCTTTGTCCAACTCCATGAGGAAACCGGAGTACCTGGAAAAAAGCCACATCTGCAAGGATGGTAACACTCAATGTCCGTAAAAATGGAAATTCATTTACTTGCTGTACTGCCATCATAACTTGACAAGCGAGGAGATGGCACCGTACGTAGACAAACGTGGTAATCGTAGGTGGAGAGAAAAACCGGAGGACCCGGAGAAAAATCCACGCAACCACGGGGAGAGAGACACACACAAACTACAAATATACAGCAGGCGTTAGGGTCGGGATCGAACCCACGAACTCCTTCATCATACCAGGCGAGGGAGTCAACATCTCGCCCACGAGTTCGGAGGTGGTTTCACAAATCCTGTGACCCAGTGATCCTCGCCTCCACGTGCTGGGTTTAGAGGCCTCCTGCTCCACGAATAATGATTTTCACCTCGCGCCCCTCCCCCCCCCCGCATCATCCACGTACTGCCCACCCTCGTCATTCAATGAGTTAGTGGAAAAATGTTTATCGAGATAAAATTCAAGAATCATTCGGTTTACGTTGTGTTTCAAGTGATTGAAGACTCATTTTAATAGATTCAAAAAGCAATTGAAATCAAGAAAAAACGTGGGTTTTACTTGGTGCGGAATTTAGCGCCTCTAGTGCCTGCGGGCGTCACGTGACAAACCATTGCATAAGATACACATATGAACAGAAAATCATCCATATTTGCTTGACGAGTGCATGGTACAACTTGTAAATAAATTTTTCATCGACAAATCTAGAAACCACATGACCACCGTTCATTGCGCTGCTCGCAAGCGAGGTGGTGAGACCGGTAAACCTGGAGAGTTGGATTGCATAATAACCTCAAATACGAGATACAAGCATCGCGTCTGCTGGATTTTTTTACATTCCTCATCGACACCGGTGTAGCTGTCAACCGCATCAGAACATGGTCAGCAGGCTGATGCGCAGTTGTGGCCACGCAACGCAAACTCTAGACCACGGCGTAAACCCACGGTCGTCTGCGCCCCTTTAACGAAGGAGGAATAGCAATACTACACCGACTCTCTCCTGAAGCCCGCTCGTGGCAAGCAGACCTTGACATTGGAATTCAGCTCCTGAACATCTTGCCATCAAAGGCAAGGATAAAATTGCTCGCACACTACCTCGCCCAGCCAGTTGTGTCTACAGACAATTTTAGCTCCGTTGCCTTCGGCCAATTCTGTGGGATACCGGCAATTAAACTTCGCATAGAGCATAAGTCGCCTTGATTTATACGACGTATACTGCCTTCTGGCAATTTCATCCGAGGAAGTCTTGTCAGCCCATCATATAGGGCGTAGCGTTTAAAAGTGATGGCTTTTTAAGTTGTCACCATTCCGGCTCATTACCCCGTGCCGCCACGGTAAACGTTGAGCTCGCCGAGCTTATGCCCGCTCGGGATGGACTGATGCGTCTATCCATCGATCAGTATCGATTATCGAGCTCGTGATGCACGCCTGGGGATCACGCGCGTATACAGTCCGTTGTCGTAGATCCATGTGTACGTTTCGCAATCGCGCGTATGTATTACCTCCACCCCTTGGTGAGGAATACATGCGTGGGTCAGAGAGCGCACGCGAGGTATCGACGGCGTATTGACGGTTTAGGGAAAAGTAAGTGCTCTTGGGCGGGGCGCGTCGATGGAAAGGGGGGGGGGGCGATGGCCGGTGGTTGAGACTGACTGGCGGAGTGGAGGAGAGGGGGGGCACGCGCCCGAGAGGACGTCCCAAGCGGAGGGTGGTGCGGCGATTAATATGGTCTGGAGCGCACGGGGGAGCCTGGATGAATCGTTGCGTCATGAAACAATGAGAGATGGCGATTGCTTTGGTGGGGGGGGTGGGGACTCACCTAGCAGTGGATAGATGATAGCCAACGATGGTGATGATGTTTTTGGTTGTAACCAGTCGGCGTGACCCCCACCCCGACACCCACAGGAGGTGCTATCACCTCCCACAGTGGAACAACAATGAATTAAAAACATAATTTCTTACATTTTATCGGGAGTCGTGACAATTCATCAATTTGCCAGCGGGGTGAATAGTTCACTCCCAAGTGTCGGATGACATTAATTGCTTACTTACCTCTCAAACTGTTTCAACTTAATTCAGCAATGGGTTCTTTAATGGGTTGCTCTTTCATGGCCATGTCTCTATCTTTAGACACTTAATATCGTCCTTTTCCCCCAGTTCATTATGTCAAATTTATCAGTGAGCACACACAAAAAAAATCTCCCACCTTTAATATTTATTGCACCCAGTCTTTTTAATTTAATTTTTTCATTTTTGCTTTATTTTTCTGCATGTTATTTTTTATGTTTTTTGTCGTAGTTTTGTGGGTGGAGGGTGGGCATGAAACATAATGTTCCACTTACCTAGCAGTCTTATTACCTTGCAGTCACACCTCGCTGTCACACATAGCAGTCACTGCTCAGCAGCTTTTGACACTTCAGTGAAGATATAGCAGGTTTGAAAACTATACGTGCAGGATATTTATTTATTTATTGCAAAGTGGTAATTTAAAGAGAAAAAAAAGTTAACTTTTCGGTTGACATGCTATCATTCCTTCTAATATCCACCACGGACACTGGGAGCATCCAGAGGAATGGGTAATGCGATTACGGAGCGCGAGGCCTTTATTGATTCCTCTTCGTATAAGCTAGAAACACAACGATTTCCCACACTGGCGATTCGATACATTGTCATGCTTCGGGGGTGACAATTCCATTCACCAGTTCAATTATTTTTAAGCTCGATTTGGCCATCTCATTTTTATCATTTCCTGGTTTGTCCTCTCTCGTTTGTAATGTTTTCTTCTCTCCGTTAGCCCAAGTCGCACACGTCGGCGTATCCCTCGCAATGAATTCGCTCAGATCCGAAAATAACAACCGGTTCTAAACGCGCACTATTCGACGCACATATTTACCACGCGGTAATCCATCAACACGATCGATCTGCGCGTCGTTAGCATACCCCGGCAAAGGGCGCCCCACCAGCCGTTTTGAGTGACGGTTTGCTGAAAAGAACGCAGCCGGTGCCTCTGCCACTCAGATCAAAACTGCGATTGGCCGCCGCTCGTTCGCCGGCTCCCCCACCACTCGGCACACTCAAATTAATGGCCGACCATGCTGGACATCTGCTTAGCTGCTCTGTTACCGCTTCACAAAAAATGCCTTTTCAGTCCGACCGATGCGCTCCCATTCAGCCCCGTAGCGATAGCTGGATCCACCACCTCTATAAATCCGTCGGTAGAATTAACGGAATTTTTTTGCAATTATTAGTGATAATGTAATCTTAATAAATACTAACGGTTCTGAATACCCCCTCCGCTGTGGAAGGCGCAATCGGGAATGTCTGTGGTGCCGGTGCCGTGAGTCCATCTCGCAGTTTCAAGAACCCGCGCGGTAGACCTGGGCACAAATCCAGGTTTCAGCCGCCCGCGATCGAAACCGGGCTCTCGGGCGTGGGCTGGGGAGTCGTTTCAGCCCTATCACCGATGTCCTGCACAAAAATAACGCGTAAACATTAAATAGGGTTCCGAACATTCGGCTAAATTCTAGCTCTTAAGAATAAAAAAGAAATATTGCTTTGACTGTCGGTGCATTGAGAATTACCCTCCGTGGAAGAGTGGGTGGGAGAGTGCTTTGCCCCTACTCTGTGGACTAGAGGCCACTTAAAGGGCTCTCTTACCACCAAGGGCTACAACTGCTCTGCGAAAGATCTTCGTGGATGCTTCATCTCACGACGAGATGGCAAATGGCACTTTTCGGGATAAAATATGGAAAAATACAATAATTTTTATTTTATTTATTGAAGGAAATTGCCCGGTATTCGCATCTGGCTCGGACATACTGGGCCCTCCCTTCCTTCCCCAGCCACCGAGGCCACGGAGCGGCGGTGGCGGGCACGCAATTATTTCAGCCGCCGAAATTGAAACAAATCTCCACTCTGTTTCGGCACTTCCCCTCTCGCAAGCGGCGCTTAAGGAACGGCGAGAGGCCACATCAATTTAAACGCACCTTCCCTCCGCCCCCCCCCCCCCCCCCCCCCCCCCGGCTCATGAACAAATGTAATTTCCTGTCGTACAAATTGCCGAGAAATATCGCCCCGCCTGGCCCCCACCCCACAACACGCTTGCGGGGATGCGTCGTGCGCTATTTCCTCCACGCGAAACCGAGCGGGTCCCATAAAACACCCGCGCGCGGGTCAGCCGCTTACCAGCACCGCGCACACACCTAGCCGGGCAGAAAATTGTGGCCCAATTAGCAGCTGGGGATGCGCGTCGTCCTATTATCGTTTTCGCGTTGCGCCAGCGTGGAACGCGGCGCGGAGGTGGATGTTCCGTGTCGTGCCGGTTAACGGCCGCGGCTGGAAATTGCACCGGTCGGTGCGTCACGGCTCGTGCCAATGTTCTCGCTAAATTACAAGAGGCGTTAATAACAACAAAGGAGCAGCTTTACCCGTACAAAATTGGCAACGCAGGTTCGTTGTTGAATGGTGGGGTCTGTTCATTAAAATGTAAATGTGATATTTTTTTTCATGTGTTTACAAGTTCGACTTGGGCACACTTGTACATGTCACAGTCATTTTGCAATCGGCAGCTCTTGCGTTAAATTAAAGTGTTTGTATGTTGATTTTTTCCAGTGTGTCTTGTGTCCACCCAGTCAATCCATTCAATCTTGGGGCAATAAAATAAAAACTACTTCGTGGTAAATAAGCAGCGATCATGGATTTCTTAGACCATTGCACACTCAGGTTAAAGATGTCATTCAAACTGTTAAGACAAGTAAGCAGGCTTGGACAGAGTGGCGACATAAATCTTTTACATCATTCGAGTGCTCTCTGTACATCAGCTGGCCAACTTTGTCTCCCCGGTGCTTACATTTACGCGGACATACGAACACTGCACCAAGCTGTCATTTGAATGACGAGTCGATTTGTCAGCGCACGGATTGATCATGAACGCCGAATTAAATAAATTGAGATTCTACGTTTTTTTGCGGTGTACAAGCTGTGTCTTGTCGTGCTGTGCTTTTGCAGAGTCGAACGTTTGTAAGCAAGCTCGCGCTGACGCCAAAGTGGAAGAACTACGGCCTCAGAATATTTGGCTACCTGCACCCGTCCACCGACGGTACGTGTGTTTTAATTTTTTACCGCCCAGTACATCCCCGTGGTGTGCCGTCCCGCTGCCAAGATCGCGTGCATTTGCTGCTTCGGTAAAGTTTTTTTCCAAATGCACTGGCCAAGAGTCGTGCGTGTTAATCTAACAAGAAGTACGGGAGACAACTCCTCGTCATCTCCCATTCGTGGCCTCGCGCCGTCTGTGCCCATAAATGCACGAGCGTCAGTGTGGTCCAGTGGGTTTGCACGTGTACCACCACCACTGTCGTCATCACGACTGTCGTCATCATGACTGTCATCATCATCACAGTCAGCCACAATCAACCTTCCTGCTGGGTGAAAGCGTCTCAAAGCTGTCGTCGATCCTCATGCTCCAAACGATGCAATAATCCACCCCGCACCTGCGCACGAGCCGATTTAATCGCTCCATCTCATCGGAGGACGACCTCACGGACGATTTACATCACTTGGCTGGCGCTCCATCATAATGCTTGTCCATTGATCGTCATCTCTGGTGACGTGTCCTGTCCAAACCCACTAAACTTTTCTTACCAGTAAAAATGTTGCGTTTTACCTGCGTGTGTTCTCTCATCTGCATCTTCCTCTCTCTGTCTCGATTTGTAAATCCGAGCAAGCATCTGTGCACCTTTCGTTTTTTTTGTTTGCTTCAATTCCCTTGATAACTTCCCTGTTGGTGATTCATATACCGCAGTGGTTATTGCGCACTGATTAAAAACCTTCTGCATACTTACGCGGCTGTGTAATATTTAACTTGTACACAGAGGTCATTCGTATTATTGCCACCGCGATAAAGCATGGGAAATCCCTTAGGCCATTTTCAGAGTCCGTAATCCCCCCTGTTCTCGACATCTTGTCAGTGGTTTGGCCTTTTCTGTGTTAAATGTTTGCATTAAAACCGACGGGGGGAGGCTCTTGCCTTGTAACATTAACTATTGTTCTCGCCTCCATGTGCTTTTTTTTAGATCAAATATGTCTGAACAAGTAATTTATTCATAAACCACAATCCGTTTACACGCCGCCTTTTTGCCCAGGTAGGCAAATTCTGGACCCGTCTCGACTTTCTAGCATTATTCGTCAAGTGATGAGGCACAGAAAGTTGAAACCGGTCTGCACTTTGCCTACCTAAGCAACTGCTGTCGAATAACATTGGTCCTGGAGACCCCCCCCCCCCAATCGGCCGATGAAGCCGTGCAATATTTTCTCTTTCATACGATGAACCCAGTCACCCCCCCCCCCCCCCCCACCGTCTCTTTATCCGTCGTCTTTTATTTATTCTCCACAACGCACCGCAGCGTCGCGCACGCTTAGTGTCGCATGTGCATCGAGCAGCTCGTCGCGCTGACCCTTGCAGAACACGAGGGCTCGGAGTCTGGAAAACGATCTCGCCTTGTGCCGCCCCCACCTCCTCCCCACAAATTCTGCCGTTGCGTTTACACCTTCCCGGCAAGGCATAGGGAAGGAAGTCGTGGGTTCGATCCAAACCCTGACGCCTGTGTATTTGGAGTTTGCGTGTCTCTCTCTCTCTCTCCCCGTAGTTGCGTGGATTTCTCTCCGGGTCCTCCGGTTTTTCCCTGCACATTTAGAATCAACAACACACGTTTAGAGTATTTGGCTGCTGTAAATTTCCACGTTATAAGCCACTTCCTTGAGCTATCATTTGTGGCCAGGTAGCTTCTGAAAAAGAGCTATATAGCTCAGTGGGCCTTACCTAGTAAAATAAAAATAGTTTTAGTTCATAGTTTAAGGTTAGCATGGTGCTTGCATTTGCTGTCATGTCGGAAAAGGCAGTGCAGTCGGGGGGAGGTGGGGCAACAGAAAAACAAAGAATAAAAATCATGCGCGCGCATGGATTCTGTGACGCTCTCCAACGCGCGCCTATACTCGGAATTATTTAACGGTGATGGTAATGACGCGTTTCGAAGGAGCACAACGAGGCATCGTCTCCCGACGACGCGTGAAGTGCGACATGGCCCCGTCGTGCGGTTTCACACCGTGGCGTCTGATGATGGCATCACCCCCTTGGCCGCCGAAGGATAACCCTTTTTTAGCGCTGGTTTTTACCACCAAATTTGGAACAACGCCGTTTTTTTCTTGGGTTAAGTCCCCCCATAGCAATGCGGCCTCCAGGAGACAAACGGACAAGGGCGAACGCATTCACACGTTCACGCATTCAACCCCGGTTCGAAAGTTTGCGAACGAGTTTTGGCGAAGAGCTGGTTAACATCTCGGGCGTTGCACGTGCGCAGACACGGTGGCGGGATAATGTAGTGGCGCACACGCGCGTACACACGCGCACGCTCGCACTGACACATAGTGTTGTAATCTAAGGAGGCACTGCAGTTGATTTTTAAATGGGTGTTTGAGTTTCATGCATTTTTCATGTAGAGATACATTTCACTGCACGCTTAGCGGCATTTTAATGACTATGCCTCTGGTTTATTTGTGTCGGCTGCTGTTGGAGGGAAAAAAAAATCAAGTAATGGCCGCGTTACATCTCTCTTTCCCATTCATTATCGTTATCAACGTAAAATAGCCCCGAGGGAAGGTGCGGGGTTTTTGGAAGTCAACAGGGTGTTTACGAAGTTGCTCCCTTATAAATAGAACCTCCGCGAGGATGCCAATGTTCGTGTTCATTCAAACTTGTTAACTGCAAGGAAGGGCGTATGGTGGCGGCGACCGGATACGGTCGCTCGTTGGGAAGTGGTTGAATGCGAACGCTGCCCCGACGCTCTCAGCGCTCGCTCGCTCGCTCGTATCTCCCGATTTGTGTTTTGGCGACGCTGCTCGGCAAATTACGATGCACGCGCGCGCTGGTGCGCATGCATCACGCGGACAAACCTATTGCATTGCCAGCAGCACAGCGTGAGCGGAGGCTGCGCTCAGAATCCATTCCCCCGTGGTGAGGAGTCTGCTGCGGGTATTCCACACTGTAACATTCGAAGTGTGTGCCCATTGTCTCCTCTGGAGGTCAACTGGTACTGACTTGGGACACGTGTGTGTGTGTGTCTGTGTCTCTGCGCATGTGTTGTGTTCGTGTGCTCGCTGTGTGTTTGCATGCGTGTCCGTGTTGTAATTGCGTGTGTTTTCTGTTTGCGTGTGTGTGTGTATTTTTACGTGCCAATTTGTGTGGTTGCATGTGTGCTCGTATATGCATGCGTGTTTGTTCGCGTTTGCATGTGTATGTCTGCATGTGTTTGCATGTGTTTTTGTACGTGCGTTTTTATGTGTGTTTATATGCGTGTGTGTGTGTATGTGTTCGTGCGTGTGTCCGGGCTGTGTGTTTGCGTGTGTGCGCGTGTGCAGGTGAGTTTCTTTTCACGATCGCATCCGACGACAACTCCGAGTTTTGGCTCAGCCCCGATGAAAAGCCTGCCAACCTGGCGCTGATGGCGTACGTGGGCAAGGTGCGCTATTTCCAGCTCTTCTCCGCGTTTTTTTTACTTTGTTGACAACACGATGCCGCGTCCGCCACCACACGGCCCCACTGCGTCTTCGCGCGCAGTCCAAACACGTGTTTTAAACGTGCAACTGTGGCCTGCTCCATGTATTTTTGTGGGCTGAGCGAGTGCGAGTGGACATTGGGAGCTGTGGCTGGCGCGGTGCTTAACGCACTGCGACGGGTAACCCGGCCCAGCTCGAGTTGGTGGCATGGTGGGTTTGCAAGTGGACAAGGGCATGAGTGGGCAAGTGAGTAGTGGGTGCTTGGTTGTAATGATGGATCGGTTGGCGATGACTGGGTATGTGGGTCTGATGGTGGGTTAGTTGATGAGTGGGTTGGTGAGTGAATAAGTGGGTGGTTATAGTGATGCGGTGGGTGGTGAGCAGGCAGGTGAGTGATGGGTTTGTGTATGAGTGTAATGATGGGTTGGTTGATGAGTGGGAAGGCGAGTGATTGGGTAGATGTGTGACTGCGGTCCCCATTCTCATCTGGCCATGCAGAACTGAGTGCAGGTGCCGCCCGTAGCCTCCTCTCGGCCCGCTCCGTTCAAACCTCTTCACACGCTCACCACACGAAACTGAGTTTGAATTCTATAAACTGTTTTTCTTTACCAGGTAAGGCCCACTGAGCTATACATCTCTTTTTCCGAAGCGACTTGGCCACAAATGATCGCTCAACGAGAAGTGGCTTATCATGTGGATATTTACAGCAGCCAAATACTCTAAATGCATGTCGATTCTAAATGTGGAGGGAAAAGCCGGAGAAAAATCCACGCGAGCATGGGGAGAGAGAGGCGAGATTCCAGATGTACAGGCGTCATGGTCGAGATTGAACCCACGACCTCCGGCATATCGGGCGAGGTAGTCAACATTTTGCCAAAACCTTGGCCACCCATTAAAGGTCATCCATGAAAAGGCAAAATCGTCGCAACGATCTTTGGAGAGCTCTTCGTGCAGCACGACCGCTCCATTAGGGCTGCCCTCGACTTTATTTGCCAGGACACCGTGTGATCCTTTGGGAGGGGGTTGGGGGAGCGGAGGGATGCGACCCGCGGCGTGGGCGGTTAATTTGCGTGTGGGGCTCACTCCCATCGGCAACGGGAAAAGTGTCGCCCGGCACCACCGCGCTCGCTCCCTCTCCTCCTCCTGCTCTCATTGTACCCAGCGTCCCTGCACTGCAGCAACTCGTTTGTTGACGTGGGAGTAATGGGGGGGAGGGGAGGGAGGAGGCCTGTTGCCATGGAGACCTGCATCTGTTTTACAGTCGCTTTGTGTCTCTAGCCTTCAGGAGTTTCCAGTCGACTTGTAAAAAAAATCTAAACTGAAAGCGAAAATCCTTTTGCGGGCGGGGGGGGGGGGGTGTGTTGCATGGGTGTGGGGGCACGTGGCAGGAGAGATGGGAGGATGCTGCTTGCTCCGCTGTCGCGCTCTCTTCAGGAAACCACAACACTCCCTTCGCTTTGCGTGGAGAAGCGACGGTGGTGGAATCCCCGAGTGAACAATGCACGCGCGATTCCGACAGCCGGATCGGTTTCACGCGCACGTGGCACGGGAGCCCCGTTTGTCGACGAGCACCTCCCGCGCGATACGGGTCGGGTCGTGGGGGTTGTTTGACCGTACTTCACCACGCCGGTCCATGCTGCTTGGCTTGGTGAGGACAGAGATTATAGACGAGGGAGCATAGAAGTGCAGTGCAAACATTGATTCGTCTGCACTGCCTTCTCTGCTGGCCATAACATAACCCAGCCCCGCGACCACACGTGACGAATTGACCTGCGTGGCGGTCACCCATCCAGGCACTCAGCAGGCTCGGCCTGCTTTGGGCGTCGGCGATGTCGCAATGTGCGGCCAGCTGGCCCAGCCATAGAGCGATGGGGACGGTCCTCCGTTTAAAATCCTGTTTGGGGACTTTTCGTCGTCGTCGTCGTCATCATCTCTGCACAGGCCACCGCTTCTGGGCTTGGCATTGCCAAATTTTGAGGAGCAGTGACATTGTCGTGCTGCAGGGCCTCTCAGGAGTTGGTATCACGTGGTTTGCCTTTCCTGACGAGCACATTGGTCGGTTGTGTAAAAGCCCCCCTCCCCCCCACGATTTCATGAGAGAGTTGCATCTGCTGAGAGCCACTCTCAGCCTGTTTAGGCCATGTGAGCCATTTGGAATTGGAGCCAGATGCGAGCTCCTTTACTGGGGATTGACTCAGCCCATCATCCCCCTCTCTGGGGTTCGTAAAATAGATACCAGTTTTGTGGGAAACTCAGCAGTGGTTGTCCTCTCTCCAACACACCGGTGTGCTGTACCAGTAACGAATTGGCACGTTCTGTTTACGTGACAAACCTTACTAATTGGCATTGACGGGTGGTGGCGGGTTTAACGACGCATTTATATTTTCGCGATCCTACCCAAATAAACACTTTTGAAGGGGTTGTCCTATTTGTAAACTTTTCCCCGCCAAAGAAACTAAGAATTTCCACCACGAGGCTAGGGGGCTGTATACATCGCCTGGGCACGTGATGCCTAAATACTCATTTGAGTGGGGGGAAATCGCCGACTTTTTTTTCTTTCACTTTGAATTTCATAATTGCAGACGCTTAAATAACACTCAGAAAGGGCGGCTATGCAGTCCCCAAGTGGTCACGTGACCAATTTCCCCCATGACCTTTCTCCCCCCCCCCCCACCAGCGACACCGTGTAATCTCGACTTGAACGAGCGAGCCGCTTGCATGCTTCCTGCCGTGCGCGTTTGGCTCCCCATTATTCCCCGTCTTGGCCCGGGAGCGCGAGGGGTCGCCCATTTCATTGCGCGAGAGGCAATTTGAGAAAACCCCCCCTGCCGCCTTTTTGTGAGGCCCTTTTGAGTCAACGGGGGGGGGGGGGGGGGGAGTGGCGGGTGGTGACTTTAATCTATGGGCTGTGCTGGGGAGGCCCTGCGCGTACATCGCGACGTAGCGCAGGCCTGAGCTGGCGAGCGACCCGATTGAGTTGCGTGCGGGGTGGGGGGGACGCGGCGCAAGGGGGGGGGGGGTGCAGCGAGCCTCGTTCGCAACATTTTGCAGCCCCCCAAAAAATAAAAAACGGCAGCCATTTCTCCCATCTGTTTTGACGCCTGAATCTCTCGCCCATCGGCCCCGTCGTATTTTTATCTGGCTACAGTTCACGAATGCCTCCCCTGCCTCCCCCCCCCCCCCCATTCAGACTGTAAATCCGCACCGTCAAAGATTATTGGCCAGGTTTAGACTTGTTTTATGGCCAGAGTGTATGTCGGCTCGCATGCCAGCATAGTACTGTCCGCTGATGATATCATGCGTATAGATCGTGTGGCCGCACTTGACATCGTGATCGTCGTCTTTAATCTCAGGTCCGTAAGATGCAGAAAGTCCAACAGTGGCCGTGCTATGCAGAGACAGATCCCTGCCAGAGGAATGTGGAATTTACACCATTTGCTCAGGAGTTGAGCCCGAGCCCCCCTGCTGTGCTACAGTCAAAGGGACGCTTTCACATTTATGTTGACTTACAGCACAGGGAGGACCTTGTACTTTTATTTTATTTTTTAAATGCAAAAAAATATCCACATACTAAGCTATTAAGTAACCCTTCAATGACGCCTTTGTAAAAGTGTGGGGTGTTTTTGCTGCGCAAAGTAATTCGGAACGAGGGCTCCTTCATATTAACTGAAAGCCCACATAGCTAGAAAGGTTTAACGGGCTCTTTATACCCTCGGTGATTTTTTTTGTCAATGCCCTTGACAAGTATTATGAAGGACAATCATACAAATAAAACTTGCGAGCCATTGTCTTGATAAATGCATCCACGCTATGATTGTTCGAACGTTAAAACATAATCTATGCCTTGAGTTTGCTTGCTGGCTGCTGGCTGGGCTCCTGCGCACCCCAAACGGTGATGAGATGTGATCTTCCTCGCCGAGCATACAGGAGATCGGGGTTCGATCCCGACCCCGACACTTGTATATGTGGAGTTTGCGTGTCTCTCTCCACCGTGGTCGCATGGATTTTTTCTCCGGGTCCTCCGGTTTTGCGCACCGCATTTAGAAACATGCGCTTAGAGTGTTTTGATTTTTTCGCTGCTATACATTTCCAAATGATGGGCCACTTTGTTGGGATATAATTTGTGGCCAGGTTGCTTTTGAAAAAAAAGTTAATACCTCAGCAGGCTTTGCCTGGTGGGATGGGGATGATTTAGTATTGTATTTGTTTGGGTGATTTGTTTATCTTTCTTGTACTTGGGATTCCTATTCCTATCGTGTTTTTGTATTGTTTGTTGCTGTAACGTTCTTACCCCGTGCCCCAACTGGACATCTGCGAAAAAGAGCTCATCGGATTCCTCCTCCAGTATAAATACATATTCTGATTCAGAGTAACTCCGTTGTTAGTCGTTGCGGGGCCGTTTGCCACCGAAGCTAGCTGGGCAACTGGCTAAATAAGAATTGTATTTTTTCTGTGTAAGAGAAACAAACGTTGAATTCAAACGGCGGAAGAAGTTTGGAAGACGTCATCGTAGATCGCGTCGCTGAAGAGGTGGCGGTAACAAATACAGAAAACTGACCACGGTGAATTTAATATTGCTCTAACTTTTCAATTTGTGCACCTAGTCTTTTAATTATTTTGACAGAATATTCTATACATCCTAGAGAATGTGAAATCAATCCTCACAATAGATATTATCTTGCCATTTTATTGTGAAATAAAAAAGCAGATTACTCTTAGTGCTCTGAGTACAGAGGGACTGAGAAGAGTTGAAATGACAGCCGACTCTTATTTTCCATATCAATGGGATCTCTTCTCGTTTCAATAAATTGAAACAATTACCACAGTTTGTAAATCTTCTGTTAGATAAAGGCCTCTCCGCTCTGCATCAGTCATATGGGTTGCTTGACCATACTTCACCACGCTGGTCTGTGCGGGTCGGTGGAACTGCTTCAGATGCCACTGACGTTAGACGTGGGCCGCCGCGGGTTGGTTGGTTCTCAACCCGTCGTGCCAGCCGCTCCTCCGTAAACACTACGCCAGGGCAAGAGCCTGGCGTATGTTCGTGTGAAATTGGCCCGGTTAAGTAATTACTATCGTAAACTTTTCTGTCGCTAAGTGGAATATCATAAAAAATTATGTAATGGCCAGCTGGCTCTCTCCCGTGAATTATTATTTTTTCTTCATCCCTCACGCAAGTTAGCCAGTCGATGTCGATTTATCTGTTTTACTTTCCACCTTGGTGAGAAAACCAAATCATTCGTAGTGGAGCCATGTTGGGATCCCCGGAGCAGCTTGCCGCGTTATTGCAACGTCGAGTGCCCTCCCATGTATATTTCGCCAGCGTTCAATTCCAGATTTCAGCACGCGCGCTGTGACTGCGTGCACTGGTGGCGGCGTTGCCTGTTATAGCAAACGAGGCTTGTTCTTCATTAAAGGTGTAAAAATAATAATCTTAGAGCGAAGGTAAGCGTTGAGATGGGGAGACGATGGTGCGATGGCGGTGGGGGTGGTGGCGTGAACGTGGAGTGACGTAGCTTTTATTTTTGGATGAGCTTGTTAAACACGAAGATGAACGGTTGTGTGTTTCCGTACCGTTTCAGTCGGGCAAAGAGTGGACGGCCCCGGGAGAGTACACCAAGTTCAGGACCCAAGCATCGAGCCCCGTCAGGTGAAGCGATTCTTATTCGCGGCACGCACGCACGGATGGGTGGACGGTGTCGGGGTTGTGGGGCGGGTGGGGGGCAGTGGTGGTGGGTGGCAGCTCTCAAAAAACGATGGATAAAATAAACATCACCCCACCACCGAAGCCGCCCACACCGGTCACTTGCCCTTGGCTTGCCCGTCAGGGCTCCTCTGCAAACATCCCAGTGAGCATTGAGATAAACTTATTACACACACACGCGCCCGTTGCTATTTGTGTGCTCTCTCCCATGTGTGCTCTTTCTCTCTCTTAATACAGATAAAGCCGGTCGTGTTTCGGAGCTCTCGCGCGCCCCGTGGTTTGGGGGAGACGGTGGTGTGACTTCCGAAAGGCGACCGTTCATTTTGTTTTTACGCCTCGGCTCTATCTAAGCGGGCAGCCGGCTGCTCGTGGTCTTAGAGGTTTTTCACCGCTGACTTGTGTTCGGAAAGAGCATCTGTCAGCCTTTGCTTTAAAGGATAATGTGCCTCGTGATATTCAGAACCCTGTTCGGGCCCGATTTGCCCTCACTTAAAACTAAACTATTTTAACTTTACCAGGTAAGGCCTACTGAGCTTTATTGCTCCTTTTCAGAAGCGACCTGGCAACAAATGATAGCTAAACAAAGTGGCTTATCACGTGGAAATATATAGCAGCCAAATGCTCTTAACGGCATGTTTCTAAATGTGGAGAGAAAAACCGGAGGACCCAAAGAAAAATCCACGTGACCACGAGGAGAGCGACATGCATACTCAAAATAAACAGCACGCGTCAAGGTCAGGATCGAACCCATGACCTCCTGCATACCAGGCGAGGTAGATAACATCTCGCCACTGTGGCACATAGGCCTCTTTATTTTTAGTAAGGGTTCCAGCATCAGGATATTTGGGCAGTGACATTGATGAGCGTACGGCTTCACGTGCCAGGAAACCAGAGTGTCCCGGAGAAAACCCACCACGGCACAGGAGAGAGGGAGGATGACGCTCGGCACACAACCGTCTCTCGGTCACACCTCCGTTCCCCCACGTACATCAGCTGGCAAACTGCACTCAGCAGGCTCGAGCATTGAGCAGCTTAGCTTCCGAGATCTGACAAAACGATAACTTTTGAGGTGGCTTGCTCGTGGGCTGCCTGCGTTGATCTTCTGATCGGTGCTGGCGAGCGGAAATCGCTTTGTTCGCCGCAGTAGCCCCGAGTGCAACGGGTTGCGTGTAATTTGCATAAAATCGGAAGTGATTGATTGCCACGGGCTGAATTCCCACTTGTGCGTCGTGAGAGACATCAATTAAAATCGGGACATGGCTGGCATACCTCGAGTTTGCCGTTTCAGTCACGAGGGCAGGTCAGTTTGCGGCCGGACAAACCACGACCTCTGACCCGGACTAATCAAGATTTCCACTCTGTCATGAACTCGGTTGTCGTCTTTGTCTTTTGTTGCGGAATCTTTTCTCCCGAGTTGGGCGAATGGTATGAGAGCAGCATATTACAACGAGACAGAGTTATTTTTGTGAGTATTCTTTGATGCCAGCCATCTGCCGATTATAATGATTCCTCAATAGAGAAAGGGGTGTTTTTTAGTCTGCCTAATTTAAATAAGGATCACACACGCGCAACTCTTGCAGTCAGACATTTTGTTGTTGTGTTTTTTTGTTTGTTTGGGCCCAAGCACTTTTATCTCCACACACACACACGCGCACCCACGTAAACATTTGTTTACTCCCATCCCACTTATTTCATGATGATGAGGAAAGTAAGTTAACCGGCGGCAAATGCTGTTTGTGGTCGGAAACTTGAGTTATTTATTCAGAGCGCTTTGTCAAGGCACTGCTTGACAAAGGCCTTCCCCACGTCTTCGTCTTTCTTGAGGGGGTGAGGGCGGGGGGTGGGCGGTTGTTTGGCAGTGCGGGTTAGCCGAAGGGGTTGGTGGCCCAGGACGAGTGTGGATAATAACACGCCACTTATGTTAGCCGTGGCAGGGTTATCGAACGAGGGTCGCCGGGTTTGTAGCGCCGTACGGCAACAACTGCGCCACCGCTTCACCGTTGACGTGAGTTTTTAATCATCACCGTGGTAGCGAAGGATATCGTGGAAATTGTATTATAATAACGTGCAAATGAAGACGTGCTCTCTGGGGCACTGGCAGCGTCGCATCGGTGGGTTTTTTCCCCGTCTCTTCTGGAGCCCCACTGCTCTGCAAACACCATGGGTTAAACACTTTCCCTTCTTGGCAGCACAGCCACTGAATGAATAATGAATGAATTGCCGAAAACCCCTTTTTTATTGCTGGTGGGGGGAAGCGGAGGGATTCTCTCTCTCGTGCAATGAAGATTCTGGGATCCTTGTGCTTTGAGATTCACGACGTCCTTCCTGCCGAGCGTGCCGTCTCGCCGCCGCCGCCCGCGACACACAACAAAGGGGGGGCTCGCACAGCAGTCGAGCCTCGTTCTTAGAGGCTCGATTTCACTCGACCTCTTTGAACGACGAGGTGGCCCAGTGGCCCCCCCGGGGAGCCAACGTCGCCGGGTCAGAGCACCGAGCCGCCCGGCACCGCTGAGATCCTCGGTTTGGATCCCGGGTTCTGGTTTTGGCCGCCGGTCATTAAACCGTGGGACGGGGGAAGGGGGGTGTCAAGTCGCTCGTGTCGATGGGAGTCAACACCGTCACCGATCCATCCCATCCATCAGTGTCATCTCCCGGGTTCAGAGGCCAACGGTCGACGTGTGGCGGCCCTTTCTCTCGGTGCAAGCGCTCGTGATATTCCACCGTGACGAGATGGGTCCACTCCCCCCCCCTGGCCCCCCCCACTCCCGCACCCCCCACTACCCATGCACGTCCATCTTTGTCTTCTGTCTTCAGTTTTCCCAAGGGGGAGGGGCGGCACCACATGACCACAGTGCCTGTCGCCTTCCTCTGGCTACATCCGGCATCCTTCTCTGCAACTCCATCTGTCACCGACAGATAATAAACAAACACAAAAAACACCCCACCTTGTTAATTGTTTTCACATAATTTGGCTTATTCGAACATTATAAGTATATCACTTGGTTTGATTGACATGCGACAAGCACGCGTTGAAGGACATGAAAAAAAGGGTTGCCCGTCGCGAGACGTGGTAGAGTGAGGAGTTGTTCCAAGGTCGTATTCCAGGAGCTTTCTCTGACACCGGTGTGCACCGCTTGCTGCGAGAGGTTCCAGGATAGGAATCGTGACGTGATACCGTGAGCACGATTTAAATAGAATCTAAGGGGTGAAAAAATTCGAAAATCTAAAAAAACAAAAATCCTCTCGAAAAATGTTGAAGAATGATATCGTTAACAGTTTTGGATTTTGATTTTTCCGTGGTAAGTTAATCGATGTACTGTACTGTCGTCTGCTCGGCACGTCTATGCCACCAACGCTTCTTGAATTGAAGGGAATTTCAGGCGTGGAAGAATTAAAATGGTGTTTCTGTGCTGCGAGACATTTTGTACACGATGGGCACAATATAATTCCAAGTATTTGCTCACTGTTTACATTTGGCGTTTGGCACTTAGCTTCTTTTGTGTTAGCATGACTGCGTTAACGCACCCCGAGTGCACTCAGGGGAATTACGTCACGACGATAACAATAATAAGTGTATTCGTGCGATTATTCACCCGGGAAACGCTCAGCACTCCTTCACAGGAGGGCTATGCATTAGCGGCGGGATATTCTCGCCAATAGGCACCAGGTGGGTTATTGCACTGCGTGATCATGAAACGTGGCAGCGGGCGTGCAGAGGAACGTCATCCAGCAGTGGATTGGTCGTGACTGATGATCCCGATTCTCATGATTCTTTTAGCCTGGAATTGCGTGGGCAGGTCAGGGGGTGGCGTTCAGGTCGGAAGTGGGGCCTGGGTCGGCCTAGTAGAATCGCAATGGATTGCACGGCTGATGGCTATGTGATACGTTTCAATGGCTATATTGTTTGTGACTGGCTGGAAATGCCATGGATACTAGTCTGCTTATACATTTCAGTGGCGATTCGGATCTATAGAGCTTGGCTGGTATCAATCAGATATTCCAATAATACGTTGGTATTAGGATCAACCACCAGGACAACCAAAGCTACTCCTGAGGCCTCACAGATTACCGCTCGGACTACCAGGACTTCCGAGACTAGAACTTAGACCACCTGGGCTACCCTTGAATACCTCTGGGACCATTGGGACGACCACTAAGGCCATCCAGACTACCACTGGGAGGGACCTTACTGACTAATGCCACGATGGCGATATGTTAAATACCTCGCCTGGTATACAGGTCATGGGTTCAATCCCGACCCTGGCGCCTGCTGTATATTTGGAGTTTGCGTGTTCTCCCCTTGGTCATGTGTGTTTTCTCTGGGTCCTCCGGCTTTTCAATCCACATTTAGAAACACGCGTTTAGAGAACTTGGCTGCTATAAATTTCCACGCGACAAGCCACTTCGTTGAGCTATCATTTGTGGTCCAGGTTGCTTCTGAAAAAAGAGCTGTATAGCTTAGTGGGCCTTACCTGGTAAAATACAAATAGTTTAGTTTTCGACTACTCTGCAGTTGACTTAGACTGTGGGAATGAGGCATCAGTGGTGTTGGAGCCAGAGTTGGGTTGTTGCAGCGTAGATTTAATTGGCCGGGGCTAAATTGGTGGAATGGGAGCCGCACAACCCCGATGCCCATCTCCCAGTGGTTCATCACAAGCATCACGGCGCAGCTTTTTTGAGCTGGAAAAGTTCCTCTGAATCTTCATTTGAATTCAAATAACACGTGCGTGGGTAGTGTCGGGTCACTCCCTTGTCCGTTATGTAACCAGATGAGATAAGAGCCCATTTATATTCGTGTATATATATACATAACGGGACCTCTCCTGTCGAAAAAGTTAAGTTTCATTAAACATACAGATATCGGTCATTTCATATCTTCTGTGTATAACCAGGTGAGCGACCACTGTGCAATGGTGAAACTTTGAAAAGGAGATATTATTAATGTCAACAATACTCAGTTGGTGAAATGTAATCCGTCACTCCCTGTAACGTTTATTGTACGGCGTTTTCTTCTGCCACCAAACTCAACACATTTGTCAGCAGCACTGCCTTTAAGATGGAAAGAAACGGAATCGGCGATGGATCTGGCGGACGGCCCTTTTTCATAATCCCTTCGCTACGAAGAGGGGCCAGCGGCCCATGACGTCTAACATGTATCCCCCCGTGTCGGGGCACTATGATTGACGAATGTGTTGACCTGTTCGTCTGTCGTTGCTAATGCACCGCTGCCAACCCGCGCGTCGCGGTGCGGGCACGCAGCTCGCCACCGGAAGCTTGCGAGTTCAAATCCTAGTCAGGGGGTCGACTCAACCCCTGCACCCCTCTTCCCTTTATGCCTCAAATTCTCCCCCCCCCCCCCTTCTCGTTAAAGCCTCCACACCATTTGAAGCGGCGTTTTGAGTTTCTCAGAGGCCGGAGCGTGCGGTGTAGCGCGATCAAACCCACGACCCGCTGGCCCGTGGCGGTGAGGCCGTTGTCCAGCCGTGGATTGACAAATGGAGCTGCCTGTGTGCGTACAATGCACTTTTTGTTCAATAAGAGACGCGACGAGTAGGCTGATAATGACACGTGGCATGCCCGATGTACCTGAGGAAGACAGCTTTCAGTAATTGCATATTGCCACATGTGACACGCGGATCAGAAACGTGGGCACCGGCAACAGTGAATGGCGACAAAAGCCGAGATGCGTTCCGAGCTGCGTGTAGATACCGCCACGCTCAAGAGTTGAGTCGAAAGGCAAAAAGCGGAGGACGTCGCGTTGACTCGTCGAGGAAGGTGGAGCGGCGTGCTTGGGAAGGACGCGTCGTTGCCCAGAAGTGGGGGACGACGGTGACGGCCAGGGGGAGGTGACGGTGCCCGACAGGACGCAAACAGCGGGGACAGCGCCGTGAGACGTGGCTACCTCTGCTGCCTCCGTGCGCAGGTCTGACGCGGGCTCTGTGCGCCTGTGTGTGGCGTTGCGGAAAACTCTGGGAGGATGTCGGCACCCTTGCACGTCTTCCGTCAAGCAGTGGATAGGCACTGGCTAATGATGTCGACGATGAGACGTACAGTACGATATATCTGTAGTTAGTGGTGCGTGTGTGCGTGCGAGAATTTTTTTTTTGCTCGCAGCTTCCTGCCTTGCAATTGGATGAACTGTTGCATTTGAAATGAACAGGGTATCTGCATGTTGCCGCATCTTATGACACCGTGCAGCTATGTCCGCTCATCCCCATTCGGGAGCTCTGCTGTGCGCCGACCCCCTCTCCCCACCCACCGCTTCAGTCCCTTGCCTTTTGTTTTCCGAAATCCATTTCGCAGACTGCAGGTGTGGCGCCGGTTGGAAGATCCATCCGCCTTTCTTCCCCCGCAGAAGAGATAATGAATCTCAATTGCCTCTCGCCAATCTTAAATAAAGGGGCATTGGATGTAATTTAATTTGCTTCCCGTGCTTTCAAAGTCCCGTAACGCGTCCTGATGATCTGTAATAAACACGAAGGGATTGCGATGGAATGAATTGGTTCCTACAGTCGTCGGCGTAATTATAAATAATAACATGCTGAGTCAGACAAAGCTGGGCTTCAAAAATAACGATGGAACAGATTGGCTAAAGACACATACGTATTATATTGATGCAGTAAGTGGGTGCTTATAACCTCTGGTGTTCCTTAGCCAGCAATGGGAATTCCATAATCCTCTCGTGGATATCTCCATAGGGCAAGCACTTTGGGCTTTGACCATGTGGTAGGCAACTCGTCAACCCAAAGAGATGATGGGCTGAGTCGGACCCTGACCAGGGTTTGAACTTTGATAGAGGTTAGTCTCGCCACAGGACCATCACCGAACTCTCCCCTCTACCCACCCTGACCACGAGCTATCATCGCTTCCAGCAAAGTGTCCTGTCAATGACTACTTACTTTTCTGATCAGTCAATATGACTTATTTGACGAACGTGTGTTCTCCAATTCGTTTGTTTCTCGGTCTCGTCGGAACTCCCAGCATGCTCGTCTTAATACCTCCTTTTCAACTTTTCAGCTTTATCTAAATTGTCTTTGTCAAAAGTCCGTATTTCTGATCCACCTGTCAGAGCAGGCAATATACACGTCTTGACAACTTTATTTTGTCCAAAAATTGCTACATTCATTTTAATCAAGTTCGATTTCTTAAAGCTACTGGATATTAGCCGCTCGTAGATAAATCCAAATTTGACATTCTTGGATTTCGGCAGAGGGAAGACAGCGGCAGGCACTGCTGTCGTGTCGCTGCGAGGCTCACAGGGAGCATTGTTGCCCCCCTCTCCACCTTGGGGAAAACCTGAAGGCAGAAGGGGAAAGAGGAAGACAAAGATGGACGCGAGAGGCGGGGGGGGATGACATTTATGAGTGGATCCATCCCAGCACACGGGGACTTTCACGAGCGCTTGTTCCCGAGAGAAAGGGCCGCCACACGTTGACCCTCGGCCTCTGAACGCGGGAGCTGACACTGATCGATGGGGGATGGATCAGTGACGGTGCCGACTCCCATCGACTCGCACCACTTGACACCCCCCCCCCCCTCTCCCGGTTTAATGACGGGCCGCCAAAACCGAACCCGGGATCCGAACCCAGGATCTCAGCGGTGCCGGGCGACTCGTCGCTCTGACCCGGCGGCGTTGGCTCCTCGGGGGCCACCGGGCCACCTCGTCGTTCAAAGAGGTCGAGTGAAATCAAGCCTCTAAGAACGATGTGAAACGTCCGATGGCGTCGTGTCGATGCGCGAGGAGGTCCGGCCGCTGTCGCCCGCTGACGCTTGCGTTTTGTCTCGGCAGGCTCTCCACCTCCTCGCGCTACTACTTCGAGGTGCTGCACAAGCAGAACGACCGCGGCACCGACCACGTGGAGGTGGCGGTGAGGATTCGCACGTCAGCAAGCAACCGGGGGGCCGTCAGCGCAGAGCTAACACTCGTGACCCCCACAGCAAGAAGGGACCTGGGTTTGATTGCTGAACCAGCAATGGAACAACTGCGGGATCCTGGGGTAGAAAATGACGCAACAGCGGCATTGGCCTTGATGGCCCCTTGACCTTGAATGGGTACTGCATTCACTGTATGGGCAAGTCGCCAACCTACTTGCTTTACTGCCAGCCCCAATGGATCCGATAAAGCCAACCTCATCGATGGATTGTTCACGGGTAAGGGAGGGAACCAACGCCCACCGCTGCCAACATCAAAGAGCTCAATGACGAAGCGACCATCGCAACCCAACGAGTGGAAAAATCAAAATTAAAGCTTAACCCCCCCACCCCTTTCCGAGCTGGGCCCAGCTTTCCTCACCAGCCCGGCGGTGGCGGGAGGGGGGGGGTTGGCGTCTGAGCCCTGTCGCGTTAGCCGCCCCCGCTAACAGGATTCGCTACGAATTAAAAAGCGCACGCCGCCTTTCAAATTCACTGCCCCGGAAAATTACGCCACGTTGCGGTATTGATCCGGGCTTTAATTTCTTGCCCCAGCCGCCCACACCCCCCCCCCGCCCCCCGCCCCAACACTCTCCATCCACCCCTGCCACCGTGAAAACAAAGAAAACTCTTCAAGCAAACGCTGTGTGATGGTGAAACGAAACGGCTGCCTGCCGAGCCCAAGCACGTCGCTTTGACTAAAGCTCTGCCCGCGTCTTTGCCATTTGCAGTGGCGACTCAACGTGCCCAGCTCCACGTTCGCCATCATCGACGCCAGACACCTCTCCCTGTACACCGGTAGGCACCGCCTCCTTAGATTTCCCCCCCCGCCCACCCCCCCGTGCCCCATCACAACCGCCACCACAGTTCCATTTGTTTTTATCGTCTCATCGGTGTGGTCCCTCGTTTCTCGCATCTCATTTGCACGGCTCCCTTCGCCGCGTCAGCCTCGATGCGACGCATATCGCTTGCGTTCCAATTTGCAAGTAGGTGCGGCCTTTGTGTCAATCCGCTGCTAGATGAAAGCCTCTCCACTGCTAGATTAAGGTCGTGGAGGATGTTTGACCACACTTGACCGTGCTGGTCAGTGCGTCTTGGCGTAGGGGAGGCTGTGACATGGGCTGGTTCAGTTGTCACTCTTTTGGCCAGGAATCGAAGTCAGGTTTTTTCCACGTTCATCGCGCGGTGCGCTAACCACTAGCCCACCGCTCCACCCGTAATGTTTTACTCATCGACGACTTATCGCCCGCATTTAGACGTGCGTGTCGTGAGGGTAAGAATGAACACGCATCGATGAATCAATGTGAAATTAAACTCCTACTCATTCGTGACTAAAACTACACTTGAGATACGGGGGGGGGGGGGGGAAGAGATGAGTTAACTTTAGTCATTGTCTCTGATTAAATATAGCTTACCGCACATCTCGGGCTGATATGATGACTTCCACGAGGTTCATAAGTGTAAAATGTAATTTAAATTAAGCTTTACTTCATCTGTCTGGCTGTAAAATATATAAATGTATTTGTGCGTTTATCCCCTTGAGCAGCATGGCTGTGCGTGCGCCTCATTCTGTCAGCGTCTCTGCGTGTCGCTTCCATCTCCGAACCCTTCCGCAAACACCCGCCCCCAGTGTCACGTTTCCTTCGTTGCAACAAAACCAGGTGACCTTCGGTTCCGGTCGTATTTACCTGTTTCTCATCGTCGCCCCCATCGTCAGCCACGCTCTCTCCGCTGTTGGGTGAAGGGCTGCCTGCTCCCGTCGCCAGCCTTGTCAATGCGGATGTCGCTGCTGCTGCTGCTGCTGTTACTATTACCCTGGCCGTTCTCATTGTGCCCCCCCCCCCGTTTTCCTCGAAGACGACTCGTTGTTCAAGATGAACGAGGTGGAGTACATCCCGCAGTCTCCCGCCAGCCACGTGGGCGGTCTGGAGAAGGCGTCGCTGCCGAGCCACTCGGCCGAGATGCTGCACCCCGACGCTCGCGACTCCCTCTACCTCAGTACGACCCCTGACCCTCTTCGCTCCCCAGACCCTCCGCTCCCCAGACCCTCCGCTCCCCCCGAACCTTTCAAGCTGGCCTGTGCACGGGTGCCCTTTGGTTATTAAATCGGAATCGTAATATTTATTTATACTGGAGGAGTCCGAAAAGCTCTTTTTCACAGATGTCCAGTCAAGGCTGATCAGAACGTTACAGCAATAAACAATACAGAAACACTGCAAGAGTGCAATGTATAGCCAAGGTAAACAAATCACTAAAAAAAAATATACGAATTGAACTCAACTATTTTATTTTATCTTACCAGGTGACGGCCCTGTGAGCTATTATCTTATTTTTTTCGGAAGCGACTTGGCCACAAACGATAGTTCGGCAAAGTGGCTTATCATGTTTGTTAGCCTATTGATGCGGTAACACCTCCTGCTTGACATAAGCGGTTACATTGCAGTGGCATTTATTCCCATCTGCAAACGGCCAGAATCGCCGTTTTGACCAGCCGGTTTTGGCAATGCTTAGCCTAAGTTTAGTTCATGTAGATTTGCGGTGAAATCGTGATAGGATCCCACTCCATTACAGGAATCTGCCATAGCAGAATCCCCATTAGAATTCCATGGAAAGTGAATGGAGATTTTATTTTTTTACATCGCAAAAGGAGAATCGCTACTCTTGCAGGAATCGCTCTGGATGGAATCTTATGACACCAATAGAATCCCTATTGGAATCGTGCGAGGTAGAATCCTAGGACTTGGATACGACTCCCAGAGCGAACCACCCAGCTGTAAACAAGGAACACGCGCACATCAATGTTCAGCTGCGGTTCCTCCGAGAGGCTCCGGCGCGCGATTCCGCCCGGCTTGTTGACGTTTCATTTTGCCAATCTGCCGCGGCGATGCAGCTCCACTGGTGGAGGCGACGGTGCTGAAGGGGATCCTGCCGGACTGCGAGTACCGCCCCTCGTACCTCCTGCACGGCTACGACCTCGACCGCTACCAAGGCCTGCAGTTCGTGAGTACCGCCCCCCCCCCTATCCGATTGACAACCACCCCCTCACCCTCACCCCACCCCCAAACCCGTGCCACTTCAGTGCAGATTCAGTTCGTTCTCCTGTCACGCGGCGGTAGTTGCGTTCCCGAAGATTGCCGCGTTATGGAAACATCCGTGTTGTAATAAACAATTTAGGGTAAAGCAAAAACTCGCGATAACACGTCGGATGTGTACGCAGGCCGAACAAAGACTGAGGCGCGTGGGTAGCATTTAGAAGCATCCAGCAGCATCCCAATGCCCTGTGTGATGCTACGCCGAGGCAGCCGTTCGACCGCTTATTCCTACTCGCGCGACGTAGTTTCATTCACTCCATCGTGTTACATCCAATTCACATCCGTGTTATAAAAAGTGTGTTCCCTAATGCATTCACCGCATTATATCCAATTCGCATCATGAAAACAACACACGTTATAGGAGAACAGGCTGTACCTTTCGCCAGCCGGGTATCTGCTTGTGCTGGGTTATGCCCTCATTTTGGGAACCGGTCTTACCCACAATGGTGGAGCCAGGATTTTCAGGTAAGGGAGGCAACCCCTCCAGCAATGAGAATTGATAGAGGAGTTGTTAGCAAGTAAGGCCTTGCCCCTTGCTTTTTATTCGACGCGTGTGCGGTGATGGCGCAGCCATCAATCGAGGGTCGAATTCGAACCGTGTTGTGTGATCGGCATCGCGCTCGCTGAAGGTGAATGCCTTCAGGAAAATCGTGTACTGTAGACGCAACTGTGCACAATTCTGCGAGTCACTTATAACTGCTTTTCCGTTACTTATTGCCAATTATGGACTCAGACTATTGTCCAATCATTTCATAGAGTCCCTGGCACATAATAATAATATGCTACACAGTGGCAGTGGGAGTCACAAAATGCTGATTTATTACTAATAAACCCCAATGATTCGATCGAAATTAGGGATTTCGATTGGATCATTTGGGGGGCACATACCACCCCCCCCCCCCCACTGGCTCCGCCATTGCTTACCCAATTGGGGATCACACACGGCCGCAATCATTGCCCACCCCCCCCCCCCCCCCCCCCCCCCCCCCCACTGCCAGGCTAATGCTCGTCTGCAGGCCAGGCGCTGCGTCACCTTGTGCCACACAGAGACAGCTACCACTGGGAGTGCCCTTTCAAATGTGCTGAGATGAGATGTGAATCGCTCTGAGATGCCCCGGGAGTATATGTGGCTGTTGCATCAAAATCCAATCGTCATCATTGTAATATGATGACGATTAATTATCTTGCTCGAGGTGCATTGCTAAAGTAATTTCAAACTAAATGACTTGTAGTTTGCATATTTGGAGTTGTTGGGTGTACATTGCAGAGGTGGGACAAAGTCATTGTTATGCAAGTCCAAATCGAGTCTGAAGTCATCAAATTCATGACTCGAGTCTGACTCGAGTCCAAGTCACATGACTCGAGTCCACACCTCAGAGGTGGGACAAAGTCATTGTTATGCAAGTCCAAGTCGAGTCTGAAGTCATCAAATTCATGACTCGAGTCTGACTCGAGTCCAAGTCACATGACTCGAGTCCACACCTCTGGTACATTGTAAATTCAGATTTATGGCAAGTGCACTGAGCCACCTTTCCGACTTGGTGTGGAAAGATTGATTCATCCTCTTTTCTGACAACCTAGTAGAATGCGTCGTTCAGGTTGGTTTGGTCATGGCCTGCGGTGTCTGGGCCTCCCTGGAAAACGACGGAGCCCTTAGTATGTGTACGTTGAACTTCAGACAAAAAAGCGCGTGGATCAGTGAGCTCCTACCTAGCCTCCCGTGTGGACAGCGCTTGGCTGTGAGCGGTGCGGTAACCGCAGTGTGGCCAGCCAGGCTTTGTGACGGCACGCGTAACTTTGTTATCGAGTGTGTCGTGGGGATCTCTGCTCTTCGTGTCCAATCCGGACTTTGAGTCGGGAGCGTTGGTGAAGCCCCGACGACCTGCTTGGCACGGTCGCTGCCGACTGCAGCATTTTGGGCGTCCCGAGTTTATTTTCTGTGACCGGGGTGAGAACTTAAGAGACGAGGATGAGCTTCGTTTGTAAGATGTGACCTGGGTTTACTAAAATTCCGAAAGAAAAAATATATTTAAAGTACAGCAATGGAAATCGGAGCAAAAAGAAACCGTGTTAAGATGTGAGAAATCGAAAATATTGTACAAACATAAATCATTGTTACGTAATACATTTCCTGTTGTGCAAGTTGGCTTGGGCAGATTATATTCGGATTGATCTTAGCACAAATACAAAAAAAACACAACACAATTTGTCAATAACACTGTACAAAATGCGAAGTTTTGGAAAATGGCCCTTCCTCAAAGTGGATAATGCCTACGCAGAATCCGCAAATTTTATTCGTTTAATAGTACAATTACATTGAAATTACAGAAGCATGAAACTTACATAGGGTGGGCCATTGTTGCGAATGCATCTAGCGACTGCCTGCTGTATTTAGCTACTCGTTGGTTCACCCTGCCATAGGGTGACCATTGTTGCTAGTGCGCCGAGCTCCTGACTATTGTGTCCAGCTGCTCCTCGGTTGACCCTGCCCACCAGGTGGCAGAGAGATGCTGGTAAGTGGCGGAGCAGGCTAAGTGGAAGTCACTGACCTGGCGGCGGCAGCAGCAGCAGCACACTGACAGCTGAGAAGGGAGCTTGCTCGGGCAATTACCACGAGCGACTCTTTTGAGGTTGCTATCGGAGAGGGAGGACGCTGCTTGGCACCGCCCAGGTTGTTTGCTCCCACGGTTGACGACTGACCTGCGACCGCGTGTGTGCGCGCGCCCCTGCTGCTCAGGCGAGCGGTGGTGTCGAGGTTAGCGCTACGCTGCGCCAACACCGGTGACGGTTATCCGAACCGGTCCTGGGCCTCCCCTAGGTCGACTCGGCCTCAAATGAGTACCCGGCGCCGGTGTCTAGTAAACATCGCCACAAGGGTGACAAAGGCGGCCGGGCGTGGCGCTGGCCACCCGTGCCGGCCTTGATAGGTGCTCGCTAACAGCACTTGCACCGGCAGTCTGTTAAGCTGTACGGGGTGGGGGGGGGTCTTTGTCTTTGCTCCGCAGGTGTACCTCTCCTACATCTACCCCAACGACTACACCCGGCTGACCCACATGGAGACGGAAAACAAGTGCTTCTACCGGGAGAACGCCTATTACCTCGAGAGGTACTTGCGCCAAAACCCTCTCCTTGGCGGGTTTTTTTTTACCCTTTTGTTCGTGTTGCCAGTTTAACTTTCTTTCTGCCATTAATTTCAATTTTTTTTTACTCTCGCTACCACTCGTGTAATAAAAATACGGCCCGTTTGCCGACCGCCAAAATTGATTTTTTTTTTTTCTGCAACGATTGGGGGCTGGTGCGTTGGCTCCGAGCGCGCGGCGTCAACCTCGTCGTATTTTTGGATCTCGAGGAGAAAGCGGCGATGCGACCGTGGGGGTTCTTGATATTTAAAAAAAAGCCTGCCGCGGCAGAAAGGTCGGCTCATCGAGCACGCGACCCCCGCGTTCAACGCTGGGGCGCCAGGCCTCCGCGCTTTAATGAAGAAACTCGTCTTCGCTTGTCAAAAGACGTCGAAGAACTTTTCTTGCTGCGTTGTCATCATTGCCGTGCGTTCTGTAGATCCGGCTGGCTGGTTGTGCACGTGCTCTTGCACGCGCCTAAGTTCACGATCTCCTCAAACTTTTCGGCAGCATTACATTTATTGCTGTCATTTTTCCATGATTTTATGCTGATGTCGCTACCGGTGGTCGTGATACGGATTGAGGAGTTTACAACGCTCCACGGTAATGGACATTACAGAGCTACCTCTTTCAGTGACCTTTGCTCCATTCAGTAGAGGTCAGCAGTTTCCCACCCACTGCCACTGCTCATTGCGCTAAAGTCAGACGAACACAACAATTCTCAGAGGTGGAATTTAGCCAACTACTGTACAAGACCAAATTCAACGGGGTGATTTTTTTTTAGCAGTCATTGGTGGCCTTGCTGAGACCATTGGCTCACTCAACTCGAGAAGTCTGCTTAATCGCAGGCTGCTGCCTGGTATCGAACCCAGGACCTTGGCGGTGCCAGCTTGGCTCCCTGACATCTGAGTCGCCATGGCCAACCACCTCAGCAGGTGATCCGTACGGTTTATCCCGGCCCGATTCGGTGTTGCTGGGCTCACGGTCGGGCCGGTGGTCACAGTGCCTGGCTCTGTGTGCGCGCTGGACCGTTTTCTTCCCCGTCTTTTTCCCTCGACTGTAATTCCACTCGTATTTTCGGCGTCGTATCGCAAGGCGATCGCTTATCATTTTGGAACTCTCCTGGGCGAGCAATGCAGCATCCCGTGTCAGAGAACAGCCCCCGAAGCCTGGTTCTCCCACGTTCATCATCCGCACGGCTGGATTCAGCCAAACCGAAAGACAAGATTCTTCGTAACGATTTTCCTTCCCCCTTCGGTCCTCGCCGACCAGGCTGAGGCCATCAATCCGCTCCACTGGGAACCCCGGAGCAATCGCGGGGGTGGCCACCTCGGATTCAAACCAAAGAATCTCGCCGGTGCCGGCTGGGCGCCCCCAACCAACACGGCGTTAGCCCCCCCCCCCCCCCAGCCACTGGGCTGTCTCGGTGTCACCCACGTTGTGATTCCGCTCGAGAGGGCACACCCCCTCCCCTCTTTCGTTGGGCTCCTGCGATTGTCGCGGTTTGTTTTTTTGCTCCCCCAAGTGACCAGTTCTTCATCAACTTCTAACACTCTTTGTTCTTTGCTCGGACACCGAGCCTCACACGTTCCCTGTGAAGATTGGCTCCTGGCTATCTACGCCATTCTTTCTCTACTCAATTACAACCGAATCATGTTATCAGCAGCAACAGCAGCCGCAGCAGCAGCTGCAGCCATGATCTCTTCACTGCTCGGTGAAGGCCTTCCCTGTCGCCATCTCTCACGGCCTCGCAGCAATCCGTTTAGCGGCTGCACAACGGGGCCAACTTTTATCGCTCCATCTCTGCGCCGGACGACCTCGCGCGCGCATTTCTTTGAGTCTAATGGAAGTGGTTTTAGCCATTAATCGTAGACCTGGCTCGGCTTCGAGGATGTGAAAAGGTGTGCTCCTTTACCAACACTGTAAACCGCAGGGCAAATATGTGAATAGCTTAGGAACAAACACAGCTCTTCTTCTCAATGCTGCTTTTACATTTGAACTGTCAACCTTGTTTACTTTTGCTTTGAATAACTCGTTCATCAGGACCGCTCGCGCGAGCGGATAGCTGTGATCTAGTTGTACCGGGCGGTCGTACTCCAGTTGTGTTCTCATCGGTATGCTGTTTGACGACTAAATCGCATGATCCAGGCGCGCACCCGCGGACCCCCATTAAACCAGATGGACAAATGCCGGTTCGTAGTACACCGCATGGCGATCCAATAAAAAGGTCAAGAAACGTGGCCACGATTCGAATCGAGTATCGAATATCGTCTTTTCTTCACCGCCTCGTTTGTGTTGCGTTCGCCGCCGTGTTCTCGTTTGTGCGTGGTCGTGTTGGCGGCAAAATAATCATCGCCCCACCCCTCCCCAGCTTGCGTATGTTTACAATCATAGTCTCGGGTTTTCAACTCGACATTTGTAGTTGTTGTTACACACATTAGTGTATCCTTTTTTTATGGAGGAGGCCACTGTTAAATTAGTAAACGGGGCAGGTGGGTTCATTTGGCGGGCAGATCGATACGTGGGGAGACATCCGTTGTCAGTCAGCAGTCAAGCAGGGATCGGTGGGCAAGTCAGCGGGGTCGCAGGGTGGACGTGCGATCAGGCAGCAAATGGGTTAAACGGTCTCCAAATGAGAATTCAAGTCACACCTTTGAATCAACAGCAATCATTTTGTTTCAAATCAGACACGGACCGATCTATGCGTCGGTTTATATACGTGTGCAGGTATTTATTTATTTATTATACGTGTGTTGTTTCTTTATTATATTTAGGATTGCTTTTTTTTGCAACCTCAAATCCTGAGCACCCAGCTGTAAAATTGTTGAAACAAACATCAATTTTAATTTATTGGAAAATGTCAACGCTTTGAAGTAAAAAAAATATATATATAAAAATCGATTTCTTTTGGCCACGTGCTCTGCGTGTGGTTTAGCTGCATGGGCCCGTGGTTACACGGACGTGTCACGATTTGTGGGGGGGGGGGGCAGGGGGGGGGGCAGCGTGGAGACAGACGTCTTCATTTTATAAACGTCTTCATTTTTTCTTTCTCTAACCCCACGGGTACGACGGCGAGGGGCGACACGCGCGTCGCGATATTTAATGAAGCGCGTTGGGACGCCTTCGCATAACGGCCCTCGATTATTATTTTAGATGTGCTGCCACTGTGGCGTTGCGGGTCGGCACGCTGGACTTGCCCATCCAGAGGTCGCCGGTCGGGTTCGATCCCCTCGTCTTGGCAGTTAAATGCCGCGGCCGGCGATCGAGCCAGCCGTGTAAATGGGTGCACGCCACGGATCGTCGATGGGTTGATCGCGTGTGGTTTGTGTGATGCGTGGCTACCCCCACCTGTGTTCCGAGACATCTGGCCAGCGCTGGAAGAGTAGGCAAAATACCCTTTGAGAGCTCCCTCTCGAGTCCTGCTTGGTTTGCGAGAGCTGACGAGATCAGGCACATTGAAGGTGATTTTGGCCAAATGACAAATCAAAGTACGTGTTTATATTGTTTCTGCAGTGTATGAGCATTTATACAATACTGTACATTTCCAGGCAGAACATTGGTTAACCTTGTTTTATGGATAAACTGGCCTCCGGCATAGCAATGTGGACTTTCTTCTGCAGCCTTAGGGATTCTTTTGGTCATGAAGAACTTCCCCAATGCCTGTTGGAGCACGGGGAACGACGACGATGATGACGATGATGCGCGACTGTTTCCATATTTAATGCTTGGTGTAAATTCTGCACGAGACCTGCGAGTTAGATCGTGTAGTTTTTCTCCTCAATTTAAGGGCCCGGTTAATCCAAGTCGAGCGTGGAACGCGCTTAATAAGCCGTAAAGAATATTTTCCCCTGCCGGCCTCCCTAAAGAAAACAAAAGAGGACGACTTACTCTGCGCCACGTTTGAGAGCTTCTTTAGGAGTCGGAAGCCTGGGCACTTTCCCGTTTTCCCAGCAGTAACGCTCGGATCGGACTCGTGACTGAATTACAAAGAGCGCCAACTCAAGATTCCTAAGACAGACCACATGAGGAGTGGGGGAAATCTACAGCTGGGCTGGGTGGTTCTGAGTTCAAATCAATTAGCCATCGTCGACTGAGATCCTGGGTTCAAATCCGGGTTCCTGTCACCCAAGATTAAACCTTGGTTTCAAGTCTCGCGAGTTGGTGGTCTCAGCCCTGTCACAGATGAGGGCAAAAGGAAAGTCAAGAACGTTAAATCTTGTTTGCACTGTGATGAAGGTGCATATCCTAGTATGTGGTTGAAATAAGTCGGAGGGAGCTCAGATGTAGTTCTGTCGTATTCGATTCTGTGGGCACATTCTATAACAAACGGGGCTCTGCTTTGCTCTGCAAGAGGTCAGAATAGCCGTTCAAGTCTCACGTGACACCGATAGCAAAATCAGAACATCATTGTTCGTTTCTCAATCCGCTTGCCCTGGTGAGGGTCGCAGTGGCAGCATGTTGAGTAAGGGCAGTCCCCAGACCTCCCTTTCCCTGGCGACAAACTCAAACTCTTCCTGGGGAATTCCCAGGCAGTTCCCAGGTCAGTCGAGCGACATAGTCCTGCCAGAGTGTCCTGGGCCCGCCCTGGGGTCTTCGCCCATAACAACATTGTGAAAAAGAAAAAACTAAATGAAAACAGCCACAGATGACTGATGAGCTCAACTCCAATGCTGCTACTCTTGCACACAATGAGAAGCAAAGGAAGACCGGGACGAACCTTTACTTTTCCCAATGCAACCGAGCTGAGCTGGGGCTGTACCAAGCCAGTCCTGCATAGCTCAGGATCCAATACCATGTATTTTCCACTGCAGAACCGGAGCCGTGCTAGTGAAGTCACACACGTCGCATATTCAAGTGTACCGACGGAAGCAACGGTTAATAACGAAAATCAATTAACCCCACCCCTTGCCCTGCTTGGCCTCGAGTTAGATGAAGGGTCAGCAGCCTGCAGCTCCGGAGCCGCGTGCAGCTCTTCAAGGACTGCTTCGTGACTTAATTTATTAAGGACGCACCGTCTTGTACTCAGAGTGCATTGCCTCTCTTGAAATATTGAGTTTTTTTTCACCGAATTCTTAAACAAATGGCTGCTCTTCTCGTTATTATATATTGGTTTGCCGACTCCTGAGCTAGATTCAGAAGCCTTGTGAGCCTTGCGAGTTTCACGGATTCGTTGAGGCTCGACTCGGCAAATAGCCAGTGGGAAGACGACCCGAACCGCCGGGGCCCACCCACGCACCGTCATGGCCTGGGTTTGCCGGTGGGAAAGGGCGGTGTTGGACACGTTCAGCATGGACGCTTGGATCGGAGCTGGATTTTGAACAGGAGACGGTCAACGTCAACATCACGGAAGGACTGGAAGCAGCGGGCAGCGTGCCCCATCTGGCTGTCTGACCTCCGGCATGTTAATTCGTCCTCGTGCTTGTAATCCGATGTGGAACTCCGAGGGCAAGATGCTCCATTACTTACTCGTCGGACGATGCTCATCTGTGTTGTTGATCCGGAGCCAGGAGCTGGAATTGCATGTTCCCTCCAGAAAGAGCCCCGCTCGCTCGCTCGCTCCGTAGTGAACACGAAGGCAGCCGGCGTTAACTAGCCAGGCAGCCGTGCAACGACCCACCCCTCCCAGCGACGCGATGAATCATCACGATTTAGGACCGCGGTTAAATTCAACATTAGCTTTTATTTTTCCGTCTCGTTATTTTTAACCCTCTTGTTAATGTTGTTTCTCGGTTTTGGTTCATTGTTGTGCCCGTTTTATATTTTTCACTGCTTTGTTCCAAGCGTAACATCGATTTGCATAAACCCTAAGTAATTGATGCTTACGCGCACACAGTCCGATGCGTGTGATCGTGAGTGTAAGAATTGCTTTGAATTGATGCGCTGTTGCACACCTATTGCCTTTCTTGCAGTACAACCGGTGGTGGTGGTAATGGTGCACCGAGTCAACGTCGACCCAGAATTGAACTCACAATCTGGCACTCGTGGTGTGCTCGGCATTCGAGTGAATAAGCGCTCCGAGCGTGTATGGAGGCAAGAATATGTGCCCGGTCCTGATCGCTTTAAACGCAGGCGTTTGGCCTTGTCAGTGCCGATGCGAATTCAAATGTCAACACACGGGGAGAGCAGCAGACACCCGGGCCGCACGTGTGAGAGTGTCAGGTTTTTGGTTGCGTTGAGGATGGAGTGCTGCCCTCTCCAGGCCAAACGGAGCACAGCCCCCCCCCCCCCGCCCCCAGGAGCCGCTGTGGAATGAATCGTTGAAGAATGCTGCATTGGCGGCAGGGGTGCAAAAACACAATTAACAGCAAACGTGAACGCACTCGTCGACAACGATGCCTTAAAATAATATATTTTATACATAATATATATAATCGGTAAAGTTTCAAGCATTGACCCTTCCGTGCCCTGTGAGCCATTGCCTGAAGGGCCATTGCCTGAAACGTCACCGATTTTCTTTTTTGTTTTAAAGGCAGTGTTGTTGACAAGTTTGGTTGAGTTTTTTTAGTCACGAATTCAAAATGTGCTACACACCAACTGAGGAAAAATCGCTTTCCAAAATGACTGGCGCTGCCACCCGCGCAGGTTTGGCTTCTACCGATACATGAAGATGGACGCGCCGGAGCCGCGAGCGGGACTCGCAGCTCAGCAGCCGCAGAGACGGGACGGAGAAAACAACGGCAGCCTCTGGGAGGACCGGGGCTCGGACGGTGAGGCCCACGGCACAGCCTGCGGCGTTCCGTTCCACAACGCGCTGCTTTCCCCCCACGCGTGCCGTGCTCGCCCCCCCCCCAACCCCTGCCCCAGAGGTCACAAACGGGTTTTGATTCCTTACCCGTACCCGTACCTGGCCATACCCGTACCTGGCTGGGTACGGGTAGGGTACGGGTATCGGGTACCTGATTGCGACCTCTGGGATGAAGCCATGTTGCAGGCGCGGGTGGGTTGATTCTAGGAACTTGAATTGTGAGAAGAGACAAGACGTTGGGAAATGAGTGACAAACGGTGACTCACCAGTGACTCACTGTCTACCCATACCCTGTACCCGGCCGCACCAGGGTCGCAAACGGATACCCATACCCGGCCGGGTACGGATAGCCTGGTATCGGGTAGGGTAGCGGGCATCAGGGTACCCGGTTACGACCTCTGCCCTGCCCCTCAAGAGTATTTCTTACGAGCCACTCTGCGTCTTGGTCAGCTCTCGCCTCTGATCGGGAAATTAAAATGAGCGATTTTTCCCCACCCCCGGTGTTCAGCCCCACGAACTATGTTGAAAGCTGTTCGATCAATCCTCTTAGCTCCGAGAAGCGTTCTCAATTTAATGTCGGGACTGCTTCTTCCGTATGGTCTCCGCGCAGTCCCTCCAAGCAGATCCAATACGGTGGCGAGATGTTCACTACCTCGCCTGGTATACAGGAGCTCGTGGGTTTGATCCCCACCCTGACGATACCTGCTGTGTATTTTGAGTTTGCATGTTCTCCCCGTGCTCGCATGGATTTTAATCCTGGTCCTCCAGTTTGTCCCTCCACATTTAGAATCAACATGCGTTTAGAGTATTTGGCTGCTCTAAATTTCCACGTGATAATAAGCCACTTCGTTGAGCTATCATTTGTGGCCAGGTTCGCTTCTAATGGAGACCCGTATAGCTCAGTGCGGCTTACCGATAAAATATTATTTTGATCGTTTAGTTTTAGTTTATGATCGTCGTTCTCCCGCTTCTTGACCCCTGTCACCCTCAGCGCTGGACCCCAGGGACCAGTTCTACGATGACGACGGTGGCGGTGGCATTGGCGGTGGCGTTGGCATTGGCGGTGGCATTCACCCCGACGGTCTGCCCGACCGCGCCGCGAACGAAAACAACGAGGAGGAGGTGGACGAGGAGGAGTACGATGACGAGGAAGAGCAGGAGGAGGAGCCGCAGCAGCCGGAGCTGGCCCCGCCGGACCGCGTGCGCCGCCATGCGCCTCAGCACGGCGCGGTGGACATGGAGAACGACGAGCGCGAGCCGGATCGACGGCACCGGCGAGAACGCGGGCGAGAGAACGGGCGGGAAGGCGGGCGAGAGAACGGGAGGGAACGCGGGCGAGACAACGGGCGGGAGGGCAAGCGAGAGAACGGGAGGGAACACGAGCCCACTGCAGGGCGGCCTGCCGCGGGGGGCGATCAACACCAGGCGGAGCAGCAGCACGCGCTCCCCCCTCACAACCGCGCCTTCCCCGTGCAGTGGTTTGTCGCCAATCACGATGCCGGCGCCGTGCTGGGGGAGCCGGCCGCCGGGCCCCGTGCCGGCGTCACGGGCGGCAGGCGCAGGAAGCACAAGAGGAGGAGGAGGCCCGAGCGGCCGGAAGTCCGGGAGGCGGGCGGCCGGGTGGAAGCGGCGGGGGCGGCCGCGGCGGCGGCGTGGCCGGCCGCGGACGAGGGGCGCGCCGGGCCGCGGCGCAGGGACTACGGCGACGATTTTGACGACTACGCGTTCCAACGCCGGCGGAAGCTCTTCGGGCTGGACGGCAACCCGAGCCCCGCGGTGCTACGGGGAGCGGTGGAGGATGGGGGGGGCGGCGATGGGTTCGCTGCGCCCGCCGCTGCCGAGGTCGGAGAGCCGCGGCGTCGGTTCGACGACGACGACGCCGCAGCCGCCGCTCGGCCTCGCGGCAAATCGCGAGATTTTCGGGAAGCGGTTCGCGGTGCGGGGAATGAATCCGCCGAAGCCGCGGCCGCCCTTCGCGCCTACAAGGCGGCACACAACGCAAAGAGGAGGCGTAAGAACGTGAGGAACCAGAGGGACGCGAGGGAAGACTGGTCACGGTTTAGCCGCCGCAGCCCAAGGAGGGGACGGTGTGGTGGTGAAGGACGTTGCTGATGGTGAAGTGGCAATCGGTAATAAGAAGCGTCAACCTTCTAAACGGCGCGGTCTCGGCCCGCAAGGAGGGGCGAACGACGTGGATCCAAAGCAGAAGGTGGCGGTGGACCTCCCCCTCGTCAATGCCGGGGGAGTCGGCAAGAACGCTTCCCGCGAAATACCCACGGGGGCCTCTGTCGCCACCAGAAGCGGCGTCGTGGCGGGGCGCGACCGAGACGAAGGGGCAGCAGTGGAGAAGGTCGGCGAGGCGCCGGAGAAGAACGGCACGCGACCGCCGCAGAGCGCCAACGCCACCGACGGCGCCATCAAACCCGCCGCCTCCCAGGCCCCCGCATCGGCGAGATCCACCACGCCCCCCACGCACGCTGCCGACGAGGAGCCACGCAGGAACGAGGCCAGCTCGCGGAGGATGGCCAAACGGAAGCGGGATCGCAACGGCGACCGCAGGTCAGAGGTCATTTTCGCCAACCACGCGGGCCGCGGCCAGGAACGTGGGGGCGGTCCAGGTGACAAGGCGGCAGCCGCAGCGGGAAACGACGACAACAACGACGACAACAACCGCGGCTCGCGGGTCGAGAAAAACGGGCACGAAGCCTCCCCAGGCAACCGTGGGGTCCAGCGCTGGGACGACCGAGTCGCAAAGGGGCTACCCACGCGGCGACCAGGGGCCGGGGCGGCGCCGAGCCGCTGGCGGCGGTCGGGGACGACGGAGACGCCGCCGCCGGCAGGAACGAGGGGCCGTGGAACTCGCTGTCGTCCTTTGACCCGAACGACGATGGCGACGACGCGCGGGCCGGAGCGGTCGAGGACGACGGCGGGAGGGCCGACGACCTCGGCCGCGGGATCAGGGACGGGCGCAGGCGGCGGGGGCGCGCAGGAGGGCGGGGGGGCCGTGGCGGGGGGCGCAGCAAGTGGAGCTGGGCCGTGGAGGAGGAAGAGGAGGCGGACTGGAAGCGCACCTTCAGCATCGGCGAGACCGACTTCCAGTTCCTGCGCTCCGACTGGATCGACCTGCGCTGCAACGTGTCGGGCAACCTGCGGCTGCGAGAGGAGGAGGCCCAGGCTGTGGCGAACGTCATGATGGAGAACCTGGGCCGGGTGCATCCCGAGTGAGTGCGCGCGTGTTCACAAAGACAAAGATCCCCGGCCCCCGTGTAGCTGTTAAAGACTGTTGTGGCAGGTACGAAGGCCGGCACGGCACACAAGGGGGTGGGTGGCCAGCACCATGCCCGACCGCCTTTGTCTCCCAGTAGCGATGTTTACACACCGTACCAGGTACGCATTTGAGGATGAGTCGGCCTAAGGGGAGGCTCGGGACCGGTTCAGATAATTGTCACTGGTGTTGGCCGTGACCAGAAATCGAACTCAGGGTCGCTGGGTTCATTGAAAACCGCGCTCAACTGTGACACTTCCGCTCCCCGCACATACGCACGCTTGAGATGAACATTACTCTCATGGGTTAGAGTGAGTGGGAAAGTCGCTTGAAAGGGATCTCAGAGCTCGCCCTATGACATCCCCTTCCAATGGGGCGTTCCGCCGCACTGACCTGCGAGAGGTGTTAAGGGCCACCTGGCCTCACGACATGACGCCGTTACCACAATCGAGATGCTCAAAAAAATTTGAACCCAAACCCCCCTCGGCTTAGCCGATTCGGTGCCCCGACCTCGGAGCCGGCTCGGCCACCGTAAAGAATGTACAACATCCCGGGTGAATCGGTGATTCTTCACGGGATTTACCTGCACCTCATCCCACTCTCCCCCCCTCCCCTGCGCAGCCTGTACGAGCTGCGCCGCGTGGTCAACGTGGAGAAGCGCCGCGACCGCGTCAAGGGCAACCGCTACCTCCTGGAGCTGGAGCTGCTGCACCGTCCGTCGGGGCGGCTGGCACGCCTCTCCCACTACGTCTTCGCCCCGCTGCCGGCGCGCACCTCGGGCCAGGTCGCCGACGGCGGAGGCGGCGGCGTCGGTGGCGCCGCCAACGCGCCGCCGCTCTCGCTGTGCCTGCCGCGGGGCTTCGCGTGGAAGCCGGACGTGATGGTCTACTTCGTCGTGCCCGGTGAGGGACGCGCGGGGGGGTGCCAGCGCACTGCGCGAAACGCGGCTTGGTTTTTCTCTACTACCATGGATTGATACTCGAAACCTCGGTTGGAAAAACCCGTGGTGGGCGAGGGATTGCTGCATGCGTCTACAGATTGTGAGCTCCTCTAGGACTACTCCAACCTGCTGTTGAACAGTGGGCACAGCAGGTGGCAGCATTCGTCTTTGACGGGAGCAAAAACCGAAGTAGCTTATGTAGCTCTCTCTCTCTGTCCACGAGGGGTGTGGCCTCCACCTCGTCCATGGCCGTGAAGTCTCTCGTGTGAAACCTCACATTGCCTTTTGGGAACACTCGGGGCAACATTGTACAATACAACAAATAAACCGGTTTCAAGGAATGGGGGTCGTCTCTCGGACCACTCTGTATCCCGACTATTCTATACGCTGAGCTGGTAGCCCCCGAGATCCTGCGTTTGTCAGATGGAGAAAGTTGATGATCTCAGCCCAGTCTCCAGTGACTGCACACACACACACACAAAACCCCTCATCATGTTCCGTTCGGGCGAACACCTAATTTGGCTAAATTCCAACACTAAGAATCAAAGGAAATATCAGTTACAATCTCACGCGATGAACATTAAACTCAGGGACGGCGTGTTGGAAAGTGCTTTGTTGACTAGAGGTCACATTGAGGGGGCCTCGGAGCTAGTTCTGTGATCTCTGCTTCTGGGGGCCATTCTCGAACATTAAAGTTTGCAATTAGTTGCAAACGTTTTATCGTCTCACGGACGTAACCCCTTACAGAAGAATCGTGGACATCGTGGAAAAAAGGCAAAGGAAGTAAGAGCGAGCTGACAATCCAGTCCCCACGGATGAAGTTTTCGCTCCTGCTTTGTGGGGGGTTTGTTCGTACACAGAAACGTGCACGTGGGAGGGAACACACAAACGGAGGAAGGCATGGGTTCGGGGCGCGCACTCTTCACGCTCGAATTCCAACTCGCACAAATCCTTCATGCTGGCACGAAGCTGAATATAATGTTGTTATTTATTAAGTTAGTTCACGCAGATGTTGACTGCAATGCCGCGCTGTGCTTGACCTGCCCGTCGCGCGCGTCCGTGCGGTGCAGTGAAGAACCAGGGCCGCTGGGTGCAGCAGTTCATCTGGGACATGGAGGCGCTGCACCGCGCCACGGGCGACCAGCGCTTCGGCGTCGTCATCGCCGACTACTCCAGCGAGGACATGGACGTGGAGAAAGCCCTGCAGCGCAGCTCCCTCCCCCGGTGGGTGTTCTCACTTCCTCATCATCCTCCTCATTCTGCTAGCCATTCTCATCCTCACTCTCTCCATCCTCATTCACGTCCTCCTCATCCTTCTCATCCTCCTCCAGCACCTCCCGTGCATAAGTTTTCTCCAGTTTACTTCCATATGCAAAACGGTCAAGAAAATCGGTCGAATAAAATCCCGATTTGTGACCTTTGAGACTCAATGAGGCTTTTCAGGATACAGGGCCGAGCGGTATGTTACAGTACGTGGAATGATACAGTAACGCGGCGGCGTACACTCAGTCATTTTACCCGCCATCTCGCTGTGTGTGCGTAGTAGTACATCGTATCTCGCCAAACTTTATCGTTACATTATTTGCGTGCAAATTGTTTTTCGCTTAACACGGCACTTTTCGGGAACGCATCTACCACTGCCGCGTCGTTAAATGAGGACCTGCTGTACTATCCTTCCCCCCGCGGTGCGAAAGACGTTCAGCATACATGCAACATACATACTCTCTTTCCCGTTGCCACCCCTGCTCCCGTGCCCCAGGTATCACTACGTGAAGCTGCAAGGGAACTTTGAGCGATCGGCCGGCCTGCAAGCCGGGGTCGACGTCATCAAGGTAGTCACGCGTTGCCGTGAGCACCTGACATCGCCTCCGGGCGAGGTGGCCTGGGTTCGAGTCCAGGTTCCACCCACCCGTGGTTAGACCCGGCTTCTCAACTGTAGTGAGTTGATGATCTCAGCCCGGTTTATGCTAATTGCTCAAAACAAACAAAAAATGCTGCCAAATTTGTTTCTGCACTCAATTTGCCCAAATTCCAAAGCTGAGATCATCAATATCGCTTTGACTGTCACGTGACAAACATTGCTCCCGTATGCAGAGCAGGCGAGAAAGTGCTTCCCACCACCGTGTGTAGACCAGACGTCATGTAAGCGAGCTCAGGAGTGGGTCTCCGGTGTCCACTTCAAGTGGGCCTGTTCTCGAACACGGAGGGCTGCATGCACTGCCGTGTGCGGGAGCTCCGCGTGGACGGCCCGTCTCGCTCGCGATGCGATCCCGATAGCGTCGTCGGAACAAATTGGCGAAACGCTACAGTAACCACAGTGCCATTGGTGCAGAGCGCGAGCCAATCGCTTGCTCAGGTAGGAGCGAGCAGGTCACGAACTTCCCCGGCCGATGAATTCCTCCGAATCCACGGGTTCCCTACGTGTACCTCACCCGGTCGGCAAAATAAAACCGGCGACTTCTGTGCGTCACGGTAACGCGTGCGGCGCTCGCCCCCGGGGACGTTTGGAGACGTTTGGAGACGTTGGGAAACGTTGGGGAGACGTTGGGGAGACGTTAGAGACCCTCCCCCCCACCGCCCCACCCCCGTGGCACTTTCACAAAAGCCGGTTTGCGCGCGCGTCGTCATCGCGGTCGGATTCCAAGCCGCAATTAAATATAGACAAAGCAAACGCCCTGTGTGTAGGTAACACAGCGGGCGTGCCTGGCTGGAGGCACCTGTAAACTCAGCGCCGTAATCGCATCAGTGCAGTGCAGATAGCCGCTGTCTAAGTGGCGGTGGGCATATTGTTGGTGATAGAGCCTGACTGGCTGCGTTGTGTGTGTGTGTGCGTACGTGCTTCTGCCCGTCTGTGCACTGTGCGTGTGTGTCATTGATGGATGTTCGTGCGTCTGTGTGCGACATGCGAAGGCTGCATTCCATCAGCTACACTCGTGCAATGTGTACGGGAGGAACGATTACCGCTCCTCCCGATGCCCATAAAGAAAAATCGAGAGTTCAGCTTGCGTGACAGGTTTGTTTAATCGCCTTAAAAAGAGGTGAAAGTGGAAAAATGTCAAAAGAAACCCCACATGGGCGAGGTTTGGTTGCTCTTGTTCCAGACTGTGGCGGTGCAAGTACGTTCCAAATCCTCCAGGCTTGTCTTCACCTTCAAGTTGAAGGTTGCTTGGCAACCGTGGGTGGCACATCTGCTTGGCACGTGTGTACGTGCGGCGTCGTTAAACGTTTTTGTAGAACTGAAGATAGAGAGGAACGGGAAAGGTGTGCTGGGAGGCGGGAGCGGAGGTTGTTTTAAATTACTTCAGCAGTTTGCTTTTCTTTCAGTTGCCGCAATTTATTGTATTGCTTTGGTGGGAGGGAGAAGGAGTTCCTGAGACCCCGATGGGAGCGCCTCATCACGCCACGCCCTAGAAATTCCCCAGGCCCCAACGGCCGCCGGCTTCTCACAGCCCCCAGCGCGAGCCGCTCGGGTTTCTCCGCATTGTTCCTCCTTGAGTCGGTCACACCAGACGCAATCCGCGATGCGATTTAAAACCTAAAAACTAAACTTTTAGCGTAATAGATCACGATGTTTCGATCGCCTGAAGACGATCGCGTGTGTTGCGATCGAACGTCGTGATCTTTTATTTCTATTTACGTGACTTCACCGAAAGGCCCAAAGAGGATGAATTCCTGCAGTCACGAAAGCTTTAAATCAAGATTCAAACTTTTAGCATCGTTTAAGACTTTAGCGACTAAACTAAACTGTTTTTTTCATCAGGTAAAGCCCATTGAGCTATTCGCTCTTTTTCAGAAGTGACCTGGTTATCACAAATGACAGCTCAACGAAGTGGTCGCTTATCACGTGGAAGTCTATAGCAGCAGCCATGTACTCTAAACGCGTGAAGTTGCTTCTAAATGTGGAGGGGGAAAAACTGGAGGACCCGGAGAAAAATCCACGCGACCACGGAGAGAGAGAGACACGCAAACTCGACATATACAGCAGGCGTCAGGGTCAGTATCGCATACACGACCTCCTGTATACCAGGCGAGGTGGCTAACATCTCGCCACCGCAGCGGATAAACACGTCTGACTACCGCACGGCAGTGCGAGCGATAGAGGGCAGCAACACAGCACACTCCATTCTTCAGTCGCGTGAAACGAAAGGTTATTCAATTAGCAAGCGGATGGAGGAGGACAGGGGACTGGGGGGGGGAGCACGTTTTTTGAATTCGTGTAGTGAGGTCGAGTGGATTTACATGGATTTGAATCGACGGTTTAGAGGCAGTAAATCCAGTTTCTGTGGAATTCGATTGGGTGGTTGGGGAATGTGGCTGACCGTTCTGTCTCTTCTGTGGCTTTCTACCCATGTTGTTGTCCATCAGATTTGCAATCAGCTTGTTTGAGTGTTATCCCCTCCGATGCGTGGGTGTTCTTCGAGTGTTGGGGAAACGTCACTCATGGCAAAAACACTCTGTGGTGTCAACTGGGCAACGATAATGTCGACGATGACGACGACGACGACGGCAACGACGATAACAACGATGTGGCTGTGCCGGCAGACGTGCAGCTAGACCCCCACAACGTTCCGTGGTGACCGCATTAATCGCAGTGCCGCTCCTGACGTCAGCGGTGAAATCGGTGGCGGTGGGCGGCGGCGGCGGCGGTACAGCCGCACGCCATAATAGCGGCAGCCGGTGATCCTACCCCGGCAGGCCCGCGTAATGCGCCGATCCCCGTAATTACCGCGACTTAGCCGTGGTTGAGGTTAAGTTCTGGGACCGCGCCCCTCAACTCTTTCGTGTGGCAGCTTTAGCCGGGCGTGGCAGCGCATGCCCAGAAGTTGGCGGATTTACCTAGAAACGATCGTGTCCCATCGAGGTGGGGGGGGGGGGGGCGAGCCCTTGGTGCTGGGTCGTTTGGTGGGAACGCTCGACGTCCGGGGAATACCGGGTGGTGTCGGCGCGGGGAATGCAAGGAGATGGCGGTGCAAGCAATGGGCTTGCAAAACCGCCTGTGCGAGGCGTTGAGCGTTGCCCACCCGTACGTGTCGGTTTTGTACTCGGGTTTTGTCCCACTTGAAGCCAAACGCTTATTAATAGCATTGGCCAAACACCCCGAGGCAGTACGCTCAGAAAAAAGCAGCATTGAGACTCATTGAGGCTTTCCTGGATAAAGGAATAATTATCTCGGCGTGAAATATTTATGATGGCTTAGTTGGCGGCACATCCCTCCGACGTGTTTTCGAGTTTGGACCCACGTGTTGGTTCGGCACGATGTCCGACGTTTCGCTCCACGTGCTGAATGCTTCTTCAGGAATTGGATGCACCAGCAGCAGTAGGCAAACGCTATTTACAGGGACTCTTCTACTTACGAACGAGTTAGGTTCCAGAGGTCTGTTCGTAACTCGATTTGTTCGTAAATCCAACTTTACTCCTGTCGATTCCAAACACGTACGGAATGTACACTAAACACGGGGAATGGCTTTAAAAGTTGTATAATCTCCTGTAGATGTAAATGCCACTGGTTCTGCATGTTCTGCAGATGTAGTTGCCACCACCACTGTCTATTGCGCGGCGCTTGAACTTACGACTCTCGGTCTGGACAGGCAACTGGACATACAGACAGGTTTGTTCGTATCTCTGAAAGTTCGTAATTCGAATGTTCGTAAGTAGAGGAGTCCCCGTACTCGAGCACATGCGACGAAACCTCGAGCGTCGGGCCGAAGAGCACGCGCTACAATCCGAAAACACCGCGCTGAGCTGCGCGCGGCGCGATACGCAATAAAGCCGTGCCATTGCCTCTGTAATGGCACAGTTATGTTAATTTGGGGGAACGTTGCTTAAACTGGTCGACACATCGCGCGAATTAGACTATGATGTAATTTTGGCGCAGGGGCCTATGGCCTGTGAGGCAGCGCATTTTAGATATTTACTGAAATGCACTGCACATGGGCTCTTGGTTGAAAATAAGGGAGCTTTTGACCCATGTAGGTAATCCTATAATTGTTATTACTATTAATTTTTTTATCTTCCAGTCTCACCGCCCGTTAGCAGCGCGCCAAAATAATTTTGCGCCGGCTGTGAACGCCGAATTAAAATAAAATTGCTCGTCGCAATTATCGTGGGATTATCCCTTAATGTGCCAATGATGACATTGCCATTAGGGTAATGGGCCGCTTGTTTCATCTCTGTGTGTGCGCGTGCGTGCACCGAGCACTGAGGAGCTCTAGGAGCAGCCATCGCCCACTCTTCCCTCCTCACCGAGCCACCGTCATCACGGTCATCGCCAGTGAAACACCCTTCTCTGCGTGTAATCCATCGCTAGCGGCTTACATCAGGTTAATGCATTTATCTGCGATCACCGTGGCGTAAGTTGCGTCGCCGCGGCCTGGTGACAGGCTCGTGTCGGCCATCTTGAGGTGCTGCCACCCCGCCGTGTCACCCCGAGAGGCCTGGTCGCCAAGGGCTCGTGCCGGTTTCTCAGCTGTTGTGGAGTTGAAGCGTTTGTGTTTCGAAGAGAATGAACGTTGTTATTGTGCAGCTTCTTGAGATGCGAACACAGTTATGCACATTGTCACTCCACATTTATGACTTTGTCGTGTTTTGCATATCCTAAAAAAATTTTTTTGTAATAAACTATAAGTAGAGTTGAGCGTGGATAGTAGCACCGTGCAATACAGGTTGCTCAAGTTTTGCAGGGATATCTGGTGGGCAGCAGAAGGCATCGTTAATTGCAGTGGCCAAACTTCCCAATACACCACCCTCCTGAAACTCAATGAATTGCACATCGAGTCTTGAGACTCGATGTGCATCTCCTTGATGAACCCACACTCGGAAGGTTTGCTGCATGCCGATAATAATCTTCAGGTCTTCATCAATCCATTACTGTACAAATGCCGTATCGGTCACGGGGATCGTTTCACCCCGTGCATATTTTATATCGATCCCCACGTGATGTTGATATTCCTGGCAGTATCTACTCGCATGTACGACGATGCGTTGACTGTGGCTTGCGTGGTGTGTGCGTGTGTGTGTGCGTGTCTGCATGTCGCTTGCAGGACCCGCACAGCATCACCTTCCTGTGCGACCTCCACCTGAGCTTCCCGCACGACATCGTGGACAACATCCGCAAGCACTGCGTCGAGGGCCACATGGCGTACGCGCCCATCGTCATGCGCCTGGCGTGCGGGAAGTCTGCGCGCGAGCCCGACGGTGAGAGAGCCGGGCAAAGCGAGGGGGCTGGCACACGTGCAAGCGAGGGGGGGCACGTGAGAGGCAGACGCCTTACGACTGGCAGAGGTGACGTGCGCACAAGCGAACGAGCTAGCGGGCGCGCGAGTGCGTGATCAAGAGGATGGGCCAGAACTGAGCTGGTCGGTTGGTAGGCTTGCAAGTGAGCTGACTGGTTGGCAAGCAAGCGAACGGGTTAGTTTATGGACAAGTGAGAAACCTTGCGAGTGGGTGAACATGTGATCATGCTGGAAGTAGGTCAACAGTCCAGTGGATGAATGCGTGAGTATTAAGCGGGCTGGTGGGAGCAAGAGTGAGCGAGCAAATGGGCGACCAAGGAAACGGGCAGCTAGGCAACGGAGTTCGGCGATCGGGGCGGGCTGTCGGTCCATCAAGCGAGTGTGGACTCGGATGATAGGCAGGTGAGCGAGTGAGCGAGCGGCCAATCACGAGCGTGGCGCAAGGGGAACTCAAAACACTCTTTGAGAACAAAACGTGAGGCGGGGCGTGGGGGCGGACTGACGCCATCTCACGCCGCTCTTCCACATCTCTGGCCCGCCCGCACCCACTGCCTTGCTGCCAAACCGCGGCCGCAGCTCCCGATCCGGTGGTAGATGCAGAGCGTGGAGCTGGGTTGGGGAGAGCGTGGAGCTCACTGGGGCAGAGCGCGGAGCTCAGTTTGCGTCCGAGGCCGAGCCTAGTGTGTGCTCTTGTTAATCGTCGTCGAGACCGGAGCGATTGCTGTGCGATTGCTCATCCGATCGATGAGGCAATAGCACACCGAGAGCTCAAAGCGGTGACACGCTCAAGGCGTGGTAACGACGCGTCGATTAGTCACATTGAATTTCAGCTTACATCACTGTTGTCCATTTAACTGTGACCCCAGGTCATGTTTGGAGCTTGGCGGGACTGCGGGTTGATGGGGGGGTGGCATGAATGGTTACGTGCTCATTTAGCGTGGTGATTTTAGAGCGGTGAAGTGTTTTAGCCGGTGGAGCGGTGGTGCAGTGTGGTTAGCACACTGCACTATGAACAACAGCGGGCGTGAGTGTAAATCACAGCCACGGCCAGTGGCGAGTGATATCCGAGCCATTCCTGTGCGTCCTCCGCCCCCTTTCACCGACCTCGCGCTGACCAGCTTTGGCAAAGTACAGCCATAGTGGACTGACAAAGAAACAGAACCGACAGCACCGCTGTCATCTTACAGTCTAATTCCAAACGTGGTTGAAACGAGGATTGTCGCGTGTACGCATGGATTCTGTTTAACCCCTCTTTCTACCGATGCACCCCTCTGAACCTTCACCCCACTTCCCTCTATGGCCCCCCCCCCCCCCCCACTGTGTCCATGGCTCTTGCCTGACCCCCCTACCCACCCTCCCCCCTCACCTCCCCCGACCGTAATGCCGAACAGGCTACTGGGAGGTCAACGGCTTTGGGCTCTTTGGGATCTACAAGTCGGACTTCGATGGAATCGGGGGGATGAACACGCAGGAATTCCGCGACCACTGGGGCGGCGAGGACTGGGAGCTGCTGGACAGGTGCGGACGTTACACCTCGCATGGCGATTAAACACGCGCACGAGTACGCACGCTCGCTCGCTCGGATAGATGCACGTACGCACGGGAACGGTAAGTAGCCACGCACATGGCACAGGAGCTATGATGTCCTTTTGGCCGGACTGCTCCACTCCGAAGAGAGGAGCTTCAAGTAGGGGACCCAAGTCGTTTTGTGGGCGGTACTTATCTCTCATCTTCACGGCCTTCCCAAGCCGGTGTTGTGTGAAATTCCACATTTCTACGGTTGAAAGCGAGTCGTCCACTGACGTCCACCGACCGGGAATTTTGAAACTCGCGACCTTTGCCGCTCGCTCCGACCGCGACGCACAAAACGATTCGACCTGCGAATGGTGCGGGGGTCATTATTCAAATCAAGATGAGGTTTGTAGAAATATTTTACCGTGAATTGTTGTGTACATTCTAGATTTGAAGTTTTCGTGACTGCAGGGATCCATACTCTTTGTTTTTTTCGGTAAAGTCACGTAGGTAAAAAATAAAATGAATAAAAATTGAAAACAACTCAATTAAATCACGACTTTTTGGAAGCAACACAAGCATCTGTCATCAGGTGTGAACGCTCCAGCAAAATTACTGTAGCGTGTACAGCGTATGCGAATCGAACGGCGTCGATTCCCCGCTCGGAGCAGTTTGACGCATGTACCGTAAGTGTAAGATTGTTTTAATTGAGCAGGCAGGTTAATTGAGGAACGCCCATGAGATTATTTGCTGCTTGGAGGAGTTAATTAATTAATTGTTGGGGGCGCTCACACTTTTCTTTTTTTATCCGGGAAGAGATTTGCGGCGTGCAAGGACACGGGCGAGGTGTAATCCTTCGCGGCCACCTGCATGACTCACTCCCTTTTTACCAACCGCAGCTTTATTATTATTTTCTTTGTGATTTCCATCATCGTCCCAATCATCATCGTGAGTAACCACACCCTTGCGAGCCTCAATGAACAATGAGACGGCTTTTATCCATCACCGAGCCTGTCAGTCAGTAAGTCGCCCTGCCTCTTGTGTGTGTGTGTCATTAACACTCTATGGACGTTCACAAAAGTCCGCTGTGAAAATGGGAGGTGGGGGGGCGCCAGGGGGGGGTCACTTTCTCCGCTGGGTGTATCACAATACATCGGCTCGTTGATGAAATTCGATTCGTGCTATCGTTGACTCACGCATCCTGTCGCGCGTCCGCGAATCGGAATTTTATCTCTTAGGCAGATCGTGTAGGAGTTAAACGCCAGTCTACGCTTAGGGCCTGAGGAGCGAATCACCCAGAATTCGCTTCGACACATTGCAGAAGCTAAGCCGGATAGTGCTTGGATGGTTGAAGACCATGCAGGCTACTGTGGGTGTGTAACCCACGTGGGGAGCGGTAGTGCAGTGGTTAGAGCCCTGCACCATGAACCCGGAAACCTGGGTTCGATTGCTGCTCACAGTCAATACGAGTGACGATTATCCAAGCCGGTCCTGGACCTCCCCTATGTCGACTCGGCTGGACGTGATGCTGGCCACCCCCACCCCCTCGTGTGCCGTGTCGGCCTTCGTAGGTGCTACTCACTAACAGCACTTGCTCAGACAGTCTGGTTCAGGCTGTGCGGCGGGGGATCTTTGTCTTCATCTCGTAACCCACGTGTGGCTGTCTGGCGCGCGATGCTGCAGGGTACTCCAGGCCGGTCTGGAGGTGGAGCGCCTGCACTTGAGGAACTTCTACCACTACTTCCACTCGCGGCACGGCATGTGGAACCAGATGAAGGGCGCGCAGGACCGGGAGTGATGACCCGGTGTGACCCACGGTTACCCGGCATGACCCGGCGACTCTGAACCAACCTCTTTGCTCCGTTTCCACGACTCGGCATGCCACTTTCCTCCATCGTTTACGAGCCTGCGGTTGGGAGTTTTATTTTGTTACTTTTGCTTTTGGTGTTTCGTTTTTTTTATATCGTCCGCAGTTGGGTCGTGGGCGAGGGACCCCGGGAAGGGTGGCGTGGGGCAGAGAGGAGACGTCCTGGAAGACCTGAAAAAAAAACACGCACGCAAGGGGCAAAAGGAAAAATGTTTTAGATCCTACGTGTGGGCATTTCAAGGAATGCCAGCAAGCGGAGAGGGCTGACTTGTACGAATTATTTCTTGTGAACGATTATTGCAAAAGGTATGAAGATGGATGGGGACGGCTCTTCGTCAACTGCAGAGCGACATTCGAGCATCGTTTGCGGTTTGTTGCCATCGCGCGCCGTAAAATGATGGGTGTGCGCCGAGCGAAGGGTGAACACTCCTTACTTTTACTGCCTTCGCTGCTGAAAGCGAAAACCTGGAACGGATTGATGAACGACCGCACTGCGCAGCACAGCACCAAAGGCAGTGCCGAGGGAGACGTCGTCAGCCGCGGAACCTGAACGGAATCAAAGAAATCTCGCCCGGATATATTTCTGGGCGAGCGTTTTAAGAGCGCAAGAAGCGAACTGAAACGTGGAAGGCGAGGGCTGCCGAGCTCGTGAGCGTGGCACCCTGACTCTTGGCACGTCCACTTTGTTGACATTTATTCAAACAAAATTGTAACGATATCGCTTTGTTTTCCTTTAACCTATTGCCGATTGGGGTGTCGTTCGGACGTGTCCCGTTTACCCATGTTTTCTTATTGGCCACATTGGCACCGTTTCATTTTTCTGCAAGCTCTTCCCCGGTTTTACGTCACTGTGGATTTGCATTCACCATTCGTTCCTTGGTTGTGCGTTTTTGTTTTCGCGTAAAGGGTTGTCGGCGGAGGTCCCGTCCTCCGCTTTGGGGCGACACGACAAGCCGTCCGTCCGACGTAGCTCTATCAAGGCCGCCCATCGACGACCAGCAGAGACGTGTGCCCCCGTCGTGTGCGAATGTGACTTTTTGTGACGCTAAGGATTCACCTCCCCCCCCCCCCCCCCCCAACAGTCTGAAGTAGAGAGAAATTCGAAAAATGCGATGAATTGCTCGCACATTACTGAATTGGGAAAAGTCACGTAGCAACATCCGCCCCTACCTAGTGGCAGACCAATGCCCCGCTTGCGACGTTCACTTTGGCCGCACGGGGACAGCAGCCACAGGGTGAGTCCCGAAATGCACTGCATGGGAGGCAACGGTATGAATATTAAGTTGTAATGGCCATGATGAAGAACCCAGAGAAACGAGAGGTCAGGGGACATGACCAGTTCAAAAGGCACGGCTTAATATGGGGCCGCTTGCGGTGATGCCAACGCTTGGCCAGCCAGCGTTTGGTGGAGTCACCGACTCGCGTTTCGCTTTGCCGTCCGTGACTATCGCACAATGCTCGTAATGATTGGCACACGGCAACTTGAACACTGAGCACACACAGGCACACGCATGGCGAGAGCAGTCCTTCGAGCTCGTGTGTAGGGAATGCAGGGAGCGAGATTCGGGCGGTTGTCGGCCAAGCGGGTAGGTGACGAGCCTGGAGTGGTTATATGTTGATGGTGCGCATGCGAAGTTAACTACCTCGCCTGGTGTGTAGGAGGTCGTGGGTTCGATCCTGACCCTGATGCCTGTATATTTGGAGTTTGCGTGTCTAATCTCCCTGTGGTCGCGTACATTATTCTCCCGGTTTTTCCCTCCACATTTAAAATCAATGCGCATTTGGCTCCTATAATTTTCCGCGTGATATGCCACAGTCGTTGTGCCATCATTTGTGATAGCCTGGTCCCTACTGAAAAAGAGCTATATAGCTCTGTGGGGCTTTACCTGGTGAAATCAAACGTAGGATAGGTTTTCCCTATTTTTCTGGCAACACAACAGGTGTTGAGATGTTAAAACACCAAACTGAAACCTTTTACAAACTAAAATGTAGTTTTTAGTTTTTGAAGTCCGTGGCCCATATTCCACAGGAGGAGCACTAACAACTCCATTGCGGAATGACCACGGACTCATGTATCACCGCTCATGACTCTCTATTATAGATCGAGGGCATTGGAAATTCATAGCCAGGGAGCCTTGGATTTGGCGAAGGCTCCGCAGTCCGTTGTGTGAATGTCATCGCTCGTTCCCTAAGGTGGTGCAGGAGCTGCTTTGCCTCTTCATTTGCGTAATAGGCGACGGTTAAAAATATACTCTTTTTGGACGGGGGCTGAAATTATCTTTGAAAGGAGTCAATCATTTCAGATTTTTTTGGGTAAAAAAAAACGAACGTCCAAAAATTAGAGGGCACAAAGAACGTAGTCACGGGGTCACCGCGAGCCTCGGCCTACCACGCGCTCGCCTCGTAGAGATCCCGCGAACCTCGTTGTTGGACAATAATCGTCCAAACAAATTAAAGTATATTTCCTTAGTGATAAAAAATATATTAAAATATATATATAAATAATTTACGAAAATTTACGTCCAAAAAAACAGAAAGAGCCCCACGTTTGCCACTCGCAGGGCCACGTGGTACAGACTGAAGCGTCCAAGGGCGCACGTGTTGACGAGCCGAGTCCGTGTGCGGTGTGGCTCTTCAAGTGCCGCGCGCTCCGAGACTCCACGAGTCCGGCTTGAAGAGCTTTCGGCCGTGTAGGCTGTAGGCTGTGGGCAGCGAGCGAACGCGAGAGCCGGGTAACTCTTCTGAGGTGGCGAATGAGAGTGGGTGGGGTGGGGGCGCTGAGCCCCCTTGAGCCCCGTGAGTCCCGCTACACGTGTTCACGGTGTTCGCTTGGACCAACGTCTCGCTGGAGAGCCCCCAACGCTGGCGCCGCCCGGGTTCACAGCCGTCGATGCCATTTCGCTTTCGTTAAACGGAGAGGATTTTTTTTTATATATATACGTATACTGTACAGACGTTTCTACGCGTTATATAACGATGCATCAATGCCAGGGCGTCATCTCTTACAGGTCACCGAGGGTTTTTGTAAAATGTGGTCGCGCTGCGTTTTTACCTGTTGGGTTCTGGTTTTTTCTTGGCACACTTGACGGCATTTTATTTAAAAGTTATTTAACGTGCTTTTGTGCCCGTTTAAAAATTAACTACTGAACTCGCTGGATTTCTATCGAGGAAATCCTTTACATTTTTAACTTATATCTTGAGTCGTTATCATTGCAAACACTGGATCTTTTAGGTATATTTTATCGATATTTTAGTTTTGCTATTACGTAATCACGTCTTGTTCCCCCCCATTCCGATTCCCGCCCGCTTTGGTCCTACTGCGCTCCGTGTCAGTCGCCACAATCGTCCCGATGTTTGTTTGCCCCCCCCCCCACGGCCCGCTGCTCGAAGACGTCCACACGGCCCGGGTTTGGCATTCGGATCGCGTAACGAGAAGCGGCTCATCGGCCAAAGCAGTGCGATGGGAAATCTCCATTCCGCTGATTGACATCGCCACCACTGCTGCACCAGGCAAGGCTCTTTGAGCCGTGACCCTGTGTGCATGTTGACCTTCTACCCCCTGTGTGCCTGTTGACCTTCTACCGCACACCGTGCTTAGCCGACAGTGTGGGAGGAAGGTAACGGCGGCATCGCACCCTCCGTCTCGTTTGGGGGAGTTGGCACCTCGGCCATCGGCGGACAACGGCGATCTGTGTTTTTTCGCGCGACCTGGTTGCACGCAATTGAATCGCTCATTTGCGGGACGCGTCTCCGTTGCCGGTTGCGAGCGGTTGGTGCAACCCGAGTTGCTCAGAGGAGAGGCAAGACTCTCGAGCAACGGTGTCGGTCTGCTCGGCGATTGGTGGCGACGCGGCTTCGCCACGTGCACAACACGATCGTCACGGTCTAACGCTTGGGAGGAGGCTTTCGCAACCAATATTAGCCATGGTGGAGTCTTTTTTAGGGCAGAGCGCGTAAATATAAATGTGTCGTTAAACCCGTAACCACCCGACACAGCCAATTAGTAAGGTTTGTCACGTGAACAGAACACCTACAGCATTTACTATTCGAGTGGGCTTATTCTCCAACGCACCGGTGTGCTGGACTAGTAACGAATTGGCATGTTTTCTTTACGTGACGGGTTTAACAACATTTATATTTACGCGATCCAACCCTAAAAACCTCTTATGGACGATCGTTTGCAATGACAACTTGGGGGGGAGGGGCTTACCAGAAAAGGGGCGTGGCCTGTGCTGTAGAGGGCTTGGCCAGACACGCCCCTCGTGCGCAACGAATCGCTGGGACGTGCAACGAAGCCACTTTTAAAACGTGGGGGCTTTCGCCAACAAATATAATTTATCCGTGGGTTTGGAACATAGTCGTTTGCAAGGGCAAGGCGATCGGGTTTCGGCGATTCGGAAGAGCGATTGTGGACCGCGTGGCCGATGGCTCGGGCCGTTGAGACGCTGTTTTTCTAAGCGGCCGGAAAACTGAAAGTGGAAAACATTGCTACTGAAATGTCAACGTACTGTCACGCTCTAGGAAGATGATTACAGCAATAGGTTAATTTTAACTTATTAAAAAAAGAGAGTTTTATTTATATGTATCGTAATGCTGTCAACTGCTGGGTTATTTAGCCATGTGTCCACTCGTGGCCCCACGTTACATGGTCAGCTGGTGAAATATTTTTCGCGATCCCGAGATATTGTCACGAGCATTTATGTCGCGAGTGCTGCCTCTGTAAAAATGTTGAAAGTAATGGTTCAGGTTTTATTTGTTTTTTTTTTTATATCTCTAAACAACCCGGCAAAGTGAAGCAAAAACCTCCTCTTGAAAACAAGTGACCGCACTGCGTGTGGAGCGCCACGAGAGCGCTTTGGCGACGCAATGTCGGCGTCTTCACTCTTGCTTCGCTCTGCACCTAACCCGTTACACTCGTCTATGTTGTGTTCATAATGGAGGTTTTTTTTGGGTTGGATGGTGTGAATATCAATGTATCGTTGACCGTATTTTATGTTTTTCATATTCAACTCGGGTGTCATGTGTATATTTTTGACCGTTTTCTCTCCCGAATTTACTTGAACATTTTTTTTTATTTCCCCCCTCGTGGTTCCCAATAACCGGTGCGCGCGCGCACGTGATTTCATTCGCCGCAGCTTAGCCGCCAATGTCTTGGGGACTCTTTTATTTTGCACGTCCCGTAATCACGGCGGCTTTTGAGGAGGGGTCGACGGAACGCCCGGGGTTTGCGTCGTTCAACGAGCGCCACTCCCCACCTCCAGCGGAACGAGCTGGTGCCCGTAGGAAGGCAGGACAGCAAGTCGGTTTGATAGGCCGTCTGCTTAGTGGAGATTCGAGCATCCTCCCCTCCTCATCTCTTAAGCTTTCTCCGGTTTATCCCGGTTGCCTCTACGTGAAAAGATGTACCCGATTAGCAATTTGACATTCAACTGAAGCAAATTAGTTGGTGATGCGGCATTGGTAGGAGCGCACGAACGGCAAAAGGAAACTCAACACATTTGTCAACAGCAATAACATTGCCTTTCAGAGGAAAAAAAGTATGTTATAATACACGACGTTTCTGTGCAACGGCCCTTCACAGCACCTGGAAGAGGCCAGAGAGGCAGAGGTCAAACTTTTCAGAAGTTTATTTCCCAAGTAAAGCCTATTGAGCTATGAAAGCTCCGTTTAAAGGACCACACGGCTGGCAGTTGATGACAGCAGTAGCAGCAAAGCGTTAAAGTGCCTCCATGTGCTGTGAAGGAGGACCATTGCCCGAAACGTCATCTATTTATTTTCATTTTTTAATTGCAAGGCGACAGTGTTATTTACGAATGTGTTGAGTTTAAATATGTTTAAATATAAAGCAGGACCTTGCTGATAACAAGCCTCGAAGACTTGACGGGAGCACTGCTGCGCCAAGGAAATAATAATAAATATAATCACGATAACAATAATGGGTGAAACACTTGTGGGGTGCAATGTAGGAAACCTAACAGGTTGCCATAGAGCTTCAGGGGCTGTGGTGGGTAGCTGAAGGCAGTGCTGCAGTGGAATCCACTGTTGTGCTGTACTTTGAGCGCTTCACGTCTATGCTCCCCACCTTCACGTGGTGCGGTTTGGTAAAAAAAAAAAAATCCCTCCCCCCACGAGGACGGGGTTCTATATATATGCATGTTGAACTTATTTCGCACCCTATGTAGCCAGCCGTGCTAATTGGAGGTGCGGGGGAAGGACAACAAACTAAACACAAAAAGCAGTTCTAAAGAAATGCATTTTCAATCTAGATGACGATTTAAAAGTGCATAGCTCCAGTGGCTTCCTGATATCGGAAAGGAAGAGCGTTCCAGACGGCCGCAGAAGCGCGTCTGAAAGCGTCATGCGATGCGGCAGTTGCCGTCTTTATTCGATGGCACAAGAAGGCCCTCGTTGTGGCCGTGAGTTGACAACAAATGGCCGTACAAGCGTCGGCTCTGGTCATGATGACGGGGTTCCACGCCCCACGTGGAACCCAAAACGGACGCGAAGGCGAACGAACGCCACGCGTCGTGATCCGTCCAGGCGGTGGGGTGACCTTTCCCCTCTAGCCAGACCCCCGGGACGCAATTACAAATTCATCTTGCAAGCGGCGTTGTCAGGTGTAAATTCCAAATCATTGAAATGGCAAGGATTGCGGTTAATTTGCCAGTTACGCAGTCACAGTTGTAAGTGATCTCTGGTGTATCCGTGGCTTTCTTTTTTCTGGCCCCGAACTCCTGCACTTTCCCTGGGGTCGTCCTCATGATAGTTCACACTGGGAGGGGGGAAACATTGTGTGTACACTCCTAATCGGTGGCGGTCATTACATAACGCTCGGATGCTTGTGTGCGTAATATATTTTACAGTTTATATTTTTATTTTGTCCTCGGATGTGAACGGGCTGTTTTAGGTGATCGCACTCCTAAAATTGGAGTTCCTCTTGCCCTCGGTGTGTCTGTGATGCCCTGCGGTGGGTGGGTGTCCGTGATATTCTGGTCGTGTTGGGAGGTCTCAGATAGGACGGTTCCATGGTGTCCTGGATATCATCGTCGCGTCTCAGATATTTTTGGTGTGTAGGATGTTCTTGATGTATGGGGATATCTTCGTGAGCGTTCGAGTGTTTGAATGTTATAGGTCAATCGTCACGGGTGTCTTTAATGTTCTGGTTGATGGGCACTCTGGTTGTCGATGATGTTATGGGTGACCTGGCTTTGTCTGGCCCTGGGTTTCTTGGATGTTCAGCACATCCCCTGGATGGTTACGCGTGAGATGGCTCTGGCCTGTGGTGAATATTGACACCGGTGAACCCCCTGTGCAGCCTTCTTGTGCTGCTACTAAGAACATCTGCTGCAATGATGAAGGATTATTTTTAAAAAAAAATATCCCGGTAAACGTCACTTAGCAGAATTTGCCTTCACGTTTTTATGGACTTATCTTAAATATGGATATTAATAATTATATAAAAACCTATTCATGATGTTACAATTGGAGTAACAAAAAAATATTAAAGTGTCCATTGAGGCAAGGTTTCTTAACATCGCTCGTGTCACCTTCTTTCATGTGCCACCCTTCCAGGCCTGCCAATCTCCCGTGAACAAATAATTGGGTGCACGTGAGAACGCGGCGTTTGAGATGCCCCCTTTTTTGAAAAGAACGTTATCACCGTCCTCAAAAAAACGTCGGCTCGTTTCCTCCTCGCCGTTTCTTTTTTTGTGACCACGGCGGTAGATGCCGGTGATCCAGCGCTTGCAAAGGCAAGTGTTGGCGGATCACGTCGGTCTGGTGACACTGCCAGACCGTTTCTTGGGATGCGACGTGGCGGTACGGCAAAGTGGGTTCACCCGTCCCCTTGTGTGCGGACTTGTTGAGCGTTACCGCCACCCCGCTTGCGTGGCAAGAAGCCACCTCCGGCTACTCCGGAGACAGCCTCTAGCACGCAACGCACTCAATAAAGCAAATGGAAACCAGTCCTGATGTAGCAGGACTCCCCCCCCCCCCCCCCCCCCCCCGGGAGACACGGTTAGGCTTTCCTAGATAAATAAATGGCATTATAATTACCATTACATATTTTATGGGTTTGTTGCAGTTGAGTGGACATGGGGATCTCGGTGCAGTTGAGTTCTGGGTATCCTCGATGTTGCAGGTGTCTGGTTCTGGGTATCCATAGTTCTGTGTGTGTGGTTCTGGGTGTCCTGTTCTGTGTGTGTGGATGTTGCAGGTGTCTGGTTCTGGGTATCCATAGTTCTGTGTGTGTGGTTCTGGGTGTCATCTGTTCTGTGTGTGTGGTTCTGGGTATCGACTGTTCTGTGTGTGTGGTTCTGGGTGTCATCTGTTCTGTGTGTGTGGTTCTGGGTGTCATCTGTTCTGTGTGTGTGGTTCTGTGTGTCATCTGTTCTGTGTGTGTGGTTCTGGGTGTCATCTGTTCTGAGTGTGTAGTTCTGGGTATCATGTTCTGTGTGTGTGGTTCTGGGTGTCATCTGTTCTGTGTGTGTGGTTCTGGGTGTCATCTGTTCTGTGTGTGTGGTTCTGGGTGTCATCTGTTCTGTGTGTGTGGTTCTGGGTGTCATCTGTTCTGAGTGTGTGGTTCTGGGTGTCATCTGTTCTGTGTGTGTGGTTCTGGGTGTCATCTGTTCTGTGTGTGTGGTTCTGGGTGTCATCTGTTCTGTGTGTGTGGTTCTGGGTGTCATCTGTTCTGTGTGTCTGGTTCTGGGTGTCATCTGTTCTGTGTGTCTGGTTCTGGGTGTCCTCTGTTCTGTGTGTGTGGTTCTGGGTGTCATCTGTTCTGTGTGTGTGGTTCTGGGTGTCCTCTGTTCTGTGTGTGTGGTTCTGGGTGTCCTCTGTTCTGTGTGTGTGGTTCTGGGTGTCCTGTTCTGTGTGTGTGGTTCTGGGTGTCATCTGTTCTGTGAGTGTGGCTCTGGGTGTCATGTTCTGTGTGTGTGGTTCTGGGTATCATCTGTTCTGAGTGTGTGGTTCTGGGTGTCCTCTGTTCTGTGTGTGTGGTTCTGGGTGTCATCTGTTCTGTGTGTGTGGTTCTGGGTGTCCTCTGTTCTGTGTGTGTGGTTCTGGGTGTCTTCTGTTCTGTGTGTGTGGTTCTGGGTGTCCTCTGTTCTGTGTGTGTGGTTCTGGGTATCCTCTGTTCTGTGTGTGTGGTTCTGGGTGTCCTCTGTTCTGTGTGTGTGGTTCTGGGTATCCTCTGTTCTGTGTGTGTGGTTCTGGGTGTCTTCTGTTCTGTGTGTGTGGTTCTGGGTGTCATCTGTTCTGTGTGTGTGGTTCTGGGTGTCATCTGTTCTGTGTATGTGGTTCTGGGTGTCATCTGTTCTGTGTGTGTGGTTCTGGGTGTCATCTGTTCTGTGTGTGTGGTTCTGGGTGTCATCTGTTCTGTGTGTGTGGTTCTGGGTGTCATCTGTTCTGTGTGTGTGGTTCTGGGTGTCATCTGTTCTGTGTGTGTGGTTCTGGGTATCGACTGTTCTGTGTGTGTGGTTCTGGGTGTCATCTGTTCTGTGTGTGTGGTTCTGGGTGTCCTCTGTTCTGTGTGTGTGGTTCTGGGTGTCATCTGTTCTGAGTGTGTGGTTCTGGGTGTCATCTGTTCTGTGTGTGTGGTTCTGGGTGTCATCTGTTCTGTGTGTGTGGTTCTGGGTGTCATCTGTTCTGTGTGTCTGGTTCTGGGTATTCTCTGTTCTGTGTGTGTAGTTCTGGGTATCCTCTGTTCTGTGTGTGTGGTTCTGGGTATCCTCTGTTTTGTGTGTCTGGTTCTGGGTGTCCTCTGTTCTGTGTGTGTGGTTCTGGGTGTCATCTGTTCTGTGTGTGTGGTTCTGCATATCCTGGATGTTCTGGGTGGTCTGGTTGAGTGCCTTTCAGGGTGGGATCGCTGCTTTGTTGGAAGTTTGTAGACAAGGGCCCGGGCTGTCCGTTTTTCCTGATTTCTGTGAAATTACATATTTACTGTATTATGATGGTTATTAATACTACTTTGGGAGTTTTGTTTCTTCTGGGGTTTTTTTGTTAAATAAAGTTAGTTAAGCATAACACGGGGTGGTACGTGTCCTTTTTTCTTGCTGTCTTGATGAATCACCAAGTCTGCTCTCGTTTGCCCAGTTGCTTTCCCAATTGTGATGTCAGCAATATGTCACGGGACAGATGTCTGTTCGGATCTCGAGCATGCTCTGCTCGATTTTTAGGACGGTCCACAGAAACCAAGGTTAAAGTGAACCAAGAAGATCTCTCCTATCCACACACTGGGCACACTTGCCCGAGTGCACTGCTGCAGATACACATGTGAATAACACTGGTCAACAAAAAAAAAACGATTTTTTTTCTGGCCTGGACGTTTGCAGCTGTTTTAGACTAATTTCAGGGTGCGATTCCAAATCTGATCTCAGATTTGTTCTATCACATCATTGTTATGCTATCGGCATACCCCATTTTCATTGAACCTGGCGATTCGGGTTCCATTCCCGCTCACGGCCAGCACCAGTGACGATTATCTGAACCGGTCCTGGGCCTCCCCTAGGTCGACTCAGCCTGAAATGAGTACCTGGTGCGGTGTGTAAACATCGCCACTGAGGAGACAAAGGCGGTCGGGCGTGGTGCTGGCCACCCCACCCCCTTGTGTACCGTTCCGACCTTCATAGGTGCTCGCTAACAGCACTTGCCCCTACAGTCTGTTAAGGCTACACGGGGGATCTTTGTCTTTGTGTGCACGCGTAAACGTTCACCGCGCTGCGCTCCGCGGAACCCGGCCACCCGAGTTCGATTCCGTCACTGGTGTTGACCGTGAGCGGATTATCAGGACCGGTCCTGGGCCTCCCCGAGGTAGACTCGGCCTCAAATGAGTAGCTGGTGCGATGTGTAAGCATCCTCACTGGGGAAATGAGGGCGGCAGGTCGTGGTGCTGACTACCCATCCCTTCATAGGTGCTCGTTAACAGCACTTTCCCCACCAATCTGTGAAGGCTGTGAGGATATCTTTGTATTGGTGGCTTTAACCGCACAAATACCTAGACATGAATTGCACAAAAAAAGTTACAGACAAGGTTATATTTAACCTTCAATAATTAAATTACTATCACCCCCATCCGCCTGTGGGCCTTTGTGAAACGAGTTCTTTTTCTCAGCACCGTCTCAGGCCATTCTGCGTGAGCTCATCGGCAGAAAGAATGTGACGGGTGGGGGGTGAAATAGTGCCACAAAGCAAATTAATTTGATGCCTATTGTGAATTCCTTCATGCGTGGCATTGATGAAATTGTGAATGCGAACAAAAGTTCGTGAAATCTTGGATATGACCGGAGGAGGGGAATGGTGGGCGACACGGCCAGACTTTATCCGTGACCTTGCCTGCGCTGTTTTTTCTGTCGTGGTGATGATGGTGGTGGTGTTGATGATGGATTTTTGTTCGTCATTTCCAGATTTAATTATTATTAGTTTCAGGCACGCGGCGCGGGCAAAGGTTTGGCGGCCCATCACCGTTTCAGCTCCAGGAACCAGGGCGGCTCGCCCCGGGCCGCTGCTGAACCCATCGGGCGGACACCACCAAACCGCGCTGTGCCCTGTGAGACAAATGAGAGGAGGGGTTCACGCGGTCGCTTGAGGTCAGACGAAGTTGGGGGGGGGGGGGGGAGACGACGGCGATGGCGCGAGGGAATTCCGAAGTCGGGTAGCGCGATGGGAAGAAGCGGAACGGGAAGTGTTGTGCCCTGCCGTGTGGTGAGTGGGTGGGTGGGTGAGTTGTTGTGAACTGCAGTGTTGGTGAGAGTGTGTGGGTGGGTGAGTGAGTTGTTGTGAACTGCAGTGTTGGTGAGAGTGTGTGGGTGAGTGAGTTGTGCCCTGCCGTGTGGTGAGTGGGTAGGTGAGTGAGTTGTTGTGCCCTGCCGTGTGGTGGGTGGGTGGGTGAGTGAGTTGTTGTGCCCTGCCGTGTGGTGAGTGGGTGGGTGAGTGAGTTGTTGTGAACTGCAGTGTTGGTGAGAGTGTGTGGGTGAGTGAGTTGTTGTGAACTGCAGTGTTGGTGAGAGTGTGTGGGTGAGTGAGTTGTGAACTGCAGTGTTGGCGAGAGTGTGTGGGTGAGTGAGTTGTTGTGAACTGCAGTGTTGGTGAGAGTGTGTGGGTGAGTGAGTTGTTGTGAACTGCAGTGTTGGTGAGAGTGTGTGGGTGAGTGAGTTGTGCCCTGCCGTGTGGTGAGTGTGTGGGTGAGTGAGTTGTTGTGAACTGCAGTGTTGGTGAGAGTGGGTGGGTGAGTGAGTTGTGCCCTGCCTGTGGTGAGTGGGTGGGTGAGTGAGTTGTTGTGAACTGCAGTGTTGGTGAGAGTGTGTGGGTGAGTGATTGTGAGGAGTGGTTAGCGCTACGCTGCGCTACAAACCCGGCACTCCGAGTTCGATTCCCGCTCAAGGCCAACACCAATGACGATTATCTGAACCGGTCCTGGGCATTCCCTAGGTCGACTCAGCCTCAAATGAGTACCTGCTGTGTAAACATCGATACTAGGGAGACAAAGGCGGCCGGGCGTGGAATTGGCCATCCACCTCCCCGTGTGCCGTGTCGGCCTTTATAGGTGCTCGCTAACAGCACTTGTCCCAACAGTCTGTTAAGGCTATACGGGGGATCTTTGTTGTGGCGTGAAGTGTGGTCGAGACCGAGTCCTCGTCAACCCCGGAGGAGGAATCAACGAGTGAAGTGCACGGCAAGAGTCACCATTGTAGTAGCGATAGCAGAGTGGCAAGGAGGCGACTGACAGTCGGTGAGTGAGCGAGTTGAGTGACTCGGTGAGTGAGTGGGGTGATCGGTGAGTGAGTGGGGTGATCGGTGAGTGAGTGGGGTGATCGGTGAGTGAGTGGGGTGATCGGTGAGTGAGTGGGGTGATCGGTGAGTGAGTGGGGTGATCGGTGAGTGCAGCATCATCACTGCGCTGCCTCCGTGCAACCAACGTCAACAAGTGTCCACCCCCGAAGCAGACACCGGCTCTCTAAACACTCTTTTTATACTGGTAGGAACCTCCTGGTTACACCAGCCCACAGGGGATTATTGTGTCCGTCCGTCCTTCGTGCATCCAAAAATGGGAGGGGTGGGGCTGGGTGGGGAGGGGCTGGGTGGGGATGGGTGGGGGGTGGGAGGGGTGGGGCTGGGTGGGGAGGGGCTGGTCACCCCGTGGTGCCCTTATAAAACTCAACGTTTAACCTACTCACGCCGGCTTGTGCCCGCCCTCACAGTCGGGCATATTTGCGGAATACACAACGCCGCCGTTGACCCTGGCCATTGACCGAGCAACCCAACGTTCCTACCAGCTCCCTCCGCAGGACAATGTGTTTTTACCAGGCAAGGGTCCACGGAGCTACGTAATTCTTTTCAGAAGTGACCTGGCTATCACAAATGATAGCTCAACGAAGTGGCTTGTCACGTGTAAATTAATAGCAGCAGCCAAATAGTCTAAAAGCGTGGTGGTGTTCATTCTAAATGCGGAGGGGGGAAAACCGGAGGACCCGGAGAAAAATCCACGCGACCACAGGGAGAGAGACACGCAAACTCCAAATATACAGCAGCAGCAGGCGTCAGGGTCGGGATCGACCCCACGACCCCCTGCGTACCAGGCGAGGTAGTTAACATCTCCTAGCCACCGTGATGATGGTGAGAGAGAGGGAGGCACGCAAACTCCAAATATACAGCAGGCGTCAGGTCGGGATCGACCCCACGACCCTCTGTACACCAGGCGAGGGAGTTAACATCTCGAAACCGCGGCCTCCATTCCAACGCCGGCCCTTCCTTGGCTGACCCCCGCGCCCCCCACCCCAAGCTAAGGACCGAATGCAGGAAAGGGCAAATAGGCCTTCCACTGCGACTCTCAATCACGGTCGCGTCGTGCCTAGTGGGGGTGGCGCTGTGAATTCCCGGCGTGACGGACACGGGCGTGGCTGCTACGTGAGTGGTGGCAGTGGTGGAGGGGGTGGTGGTGAGAGTGGCGGTGGTGGTGGAGGGGGTGGTGGTGGGAGTGATCGCAGTGGTGGAGGAGGTGGTGGTGGGGATGGTCGTGGGGGTGGGGGTGGGGATGGTGGTGTTGGGGGTGGTGGTGAGAGTGGCGGTGGTGGTGGTGGGAGTGGTGGTGGGGATGGTCGTGGGGGTGGTGGAGGGGGTGGTGTTGGGGGTAGTGGTGAGAGTGGCGGTGGTGGTGGAGGGGGTGGTGGTGGGAGTGGTGGTGGGGATGGTCGTGGGCGTGGTGGAGGGGGTGGTGATGGTGGTGTTGGGGGTGGTGGTAAGAGTGGAGGGGGTGGTGGAGGGGGGTGGCGCTGTGAATTACCGGCGTGACGGACACGGGCGTGGCTGCTACGTGAGTGGTGGCGGTGGACGTGGAGGAGGTGGTGGGGGTGGTGGGGATGGTGGTGTTGGGGGTGGTGGGGGTGGGAGTGGAGGGGTGGTGGAGGGTGTGATTCCTCGATCCAACACCCCCGGGTTTGCGTCCCTGTCTCGCACACTGATCCCGGTGTGTGTGTCTGCGTGTCTGTCTCTCGTCTTCGAGGTGATGTCCGTATTCTCCGGAACGTACGACGCCGCGGGACGTAAAACGCCCCCGCAAATGTGTGTGTCCAGATGTCCATAAAGTAATGCAAGACTAAGATCTCCCTTATAGCCTTAGCAGATTGTTGGGGCAAGTGTTGTTTGTTCGCGAGCGCATATGAAGGCCGGTCTGGCACACAAGGGAGTGGGTAGGTGGCCAGCTCCACGCTCTGCTGCCGTTCGTCTTCCTCGTGTGGATGTTTACAGACCATACCAGGTACTCATTTGAGGCCGAGTCGACCTAGGGAAGGCCCAGGACTGGTTCTAACAATCGTCACTAGTGGTGGTGGCCGTGAGCGTGATTCGAACTCGGCTCGCCGGGTTCGTAGTGCTCACCTTTCGCCAATAAAGTTACGCAAGTATGGTCACACACAGCTGCCGGATTGTGTACGTACACGTATGTATGTTGAACCCTTTCGAACCGTACGGAGCCAACCGTGCGAATCGTAGGTGCCAGGGGAAGGGCAATAAGCTTAACGTAAAAAGCC